GTAATACAGGTGGAATTTCGTGTTCTGCCTCGACGTCCGATGATGAAACTCAGCTGCAGGCATATAACAACTCCTCTGAACACTCTCCGTGGTAAATGCGGTAGAAGATGCAGAAATCAGAATGGTTTGACAGCTCTTGAAACTAGATTAAGGTTTGACGTTCGAGAATACTAGCCTAAAAACTCGATTCGCATTTATATAGCGTAATTAAATAAATCTAGCGTATCTTTAGTTTATTCACTGGAGATGTCAGATCTCCAAACATCTCCAATATTTACAAACAATGAACGAAAGTATTGCAACTATAATAAAAATAAAACATTGTTTAATCACTAGTATACATTTTCTCCTAATGATTCAAATTATCTAGAACAAGCGAGATTTATGTGCATTAAAGGTCAAACTATAATAATGCACTTAATACTAATTTTTTTATATAACAGCGGGCAACCGGACAGGAGGCATATGAATACATCTGATGTTAAGTGACAACCATTGACACTCACATTGCCGAAGGCTCGCGAGTACGTTGCCAACCTTTTAAGCCTAAGTAGTATTGGTTCGGAAATACTTTTGGTCTTTAGTGGGCAGCTGGTTCAAAGCAAAAACCTTAAGAAAGGCTCAGATGTGGAATGACGGACGTCGAGGTGATACGGGTGGAATTTCGTATTCTGCATCAACGGACGTTGATAATATAGGCTATGACACTCGACAGAATTTTCAAAATTTAGTAGATCCAGAGATAACGTCACTCACAAACTGTACCTCTTTATAATATTGGTATAGTTAGTACATCAATATAGTGATATAGTAGAATAAACAATAAAACAATTTTTTTTTACCGGATTGAAGTTATGTAAACAATCCGCGAAAATAAAAATACTTTGACGCATTTCCGGCAGCTAAAATCACTTGGAGGTGTTCCAATGAAGGTCCCCCGAGACTCCTGCATAATCAGTATCATCAGATTCGGGTGCATCGTTGTCGAACCCAACCCGGAAATTCTGCCAGCGTTAAATCTCCAGACCATTTTTATCCTTACCATGTAGCCTAAGATACGCGATATTTTTTTAAAGTAGAATTAACTAGTGTTAGACTATTAAAATAGCAAAAGTCTTCGCTCGAAAGTTAAAGATCATTTATCTCCAATCAATTATTAGTTGTTAGCTTGTTCTCAGAGTTCTATATTTTTGTAAAATATCGAAGATTTTTCTAATACTTAACTAATAAAAAAACGATTAGACGAAGACGTCGGAATTATATATCTTTTAGGTGTTGACGTGGAATACAATTTGAATTGGAATGAAGAAGAACAATATTGATCATATATTTAACACTCGGTCATGTTGCCAAACAAAACACGCGCCAAAATGTTACGCTAAATTTAATAGATGTCTTAATTTCCGTACATTTCTCGTTTGCACACTTCAATAATATAAAATTTAATACAGAATCAATAAATAAGGACTAGCAATGCTAGATTCGTGGTCGGGCGTGCCGTAACCCTAAGGTCATGTGATCACCATCGTGGAAAACCCGGCATGTCTCCCATGCCTATATAAATATATTTATAACAAACTAGCTGCTCCCGCGATCTTCGTTTCGCCTTAATATGATTTTTTTATGAAACTGGTTTTTCCGTGCAATTTTTCAAATTTTCCTCTACATAAAAACCTTTCTCAGAGTGCTAGTAATAAATAAAAAAACATACTAGAATTATAAATCTAGCCGTCATTGATATTTGCACTTAGCAACATATTTTGCGATTCATTTTTATTAATATAGATAATAAGAAAAAAAGACTCAGAAACCTGAGACACATTACGACAAATAATTTAAATAAATTAACAATGGATAATATAAATTTGTAAAATGTAAATAAAGGTGATTTTATTCTAATTCCCATAGGAATCAAAACATTGCATGCAACCTGCCATTATCTGCATGACATGCGCACACGCCGCACTGTGCGCTTGCGACATCACTTTCACTCATTAAGCAATGCCAATCTAAGGCCCATTACTACTGTTTTGAACCAAATAAGACCTGTTAATTCTTTTATGTTCTAGTATAGATCAACTGCTTAGCTCATCCCAAATTCTATTAATATTAACTATATTTCTATTTTACATTTTCGGTAATTAATACCTAAAAATTCAATCTTGATTTTCATTTCATAATACTTTTTTATTATCCTTTAAAAAAACATAACAATATTTAAAAATCTAAAACGGTACACTATATCTTCATTTATTTTATTTATGTATTCATTTATTTTATTATTGATACTAGAATTCACATAACCTTTAGAAAATGTATTATTATTTAAAATGAAATAATTTTTTACGTAGAATCGTTTTGACAACAGCAACAGAGCACTTGTATCAATATAACATGAAAATTTTAAACCCTTTAATTTATTATTGATCTTTCTTTTTTTTATTTTTTTTAAAATTATTAATAAAACATTAAACCGAAAATCCACGAATGCCTAAAGTGTTGTATATGTTCCGACCCAATAAACCCAAATCCTTCCCCCCCCTCCCCCCCCCTTCTTTCCTTTCCTTACAACACAAATACCTGATCTGAGGAAAAGGGCTTAGTGTCATTAAAGTATAATAAATAGTTTCATATCATAGGTATTTCTATATAAAAAAAATATTAATAGATAAATTTGTATCTATTACTATTGTTGTGTCCTGTCACTAACCTTTAAACCTTTGTTAAATTTGGCGGCAAATCTTTTTAAGTAGTTTTTTGCAAAAAGTTTTATTTATAAACGCATTATAAGCCTTAATTAAAGGATATATTTTGTTACTTTGTAGAAATTTTAATGTCAAGTAGCGTTAACACTTAACATGTCAAATGGTAGAAACTAGCTAGCTGCCCACGACATAGGGAAGGGAATACTAGTGTGAGGGCAAGTGCACTCTTTTTAAGTTAAGTAAATATCCCTTTTTATTATGTATAATAAATTTATACGTTTCTTTCTTTCTTTTAATTATTTCCAAGTTGATACTAATTCAAGTGCAAGTCATCGATCTACTTGTATACTAGTTTTAAGTTAAGTGTATATGTATATAAATCAGTGGGATGATGTATTGGGTGGATTCGGTCTAAGATTATTTAATTTAAAAAAAGGTTCAATGAAGGTAATACTCTGTTCCAAAGACCCCGGTAGAATGCGGGACGATCCCGGAGCCTCAGTGCTTACTTGTGGCAACCAAACAACCCGTTTTAATGGGTATTGCTTACCCAGTCTCTAGCAGAGATTTTGATATGGGTCGAGTCCCACATACCCGTTAGTATCGGGGACAGAGGATGCGCATTTCTATCTCGGATATCCAACAAAAGATATAAAAGAATTTTGTTATATGTAAGAAGAATTATTTCGATGAATTGGTTGATTTGTAATTTCCTGATTTTACAAATACATCAGAATTTAGATGTAGGCGTCCTTCCTCATTGGGATAAGTGCAAGAATTGTATGATTGCACATTTAGTTGTCTCAGTCTGTATAAAGTTACTTAAGTCATTTCTAGATACAATTATTTCAGATGAATTTAGAATTCTTAAAAGCTTCGTGTTACTGTGCTCTCGGGTTGATATATTATAGACTATTTTGTTTTGTTTATAAATCACTGAATATGTCACTTCAGTCAATTGTCAATGTCATGGTAAATAGACATTCATTAGAAAGTTTGCATTGACGCTAAAAGTACGTTGTTATATTTGGGTCGCTTTCAGATGAAACTGAACTAAATTGTGTAATTAGTGTGTTGCAAGAAGCCATATTGCTGTTATCGTTAAAGTAAAATGATCGAAAGGATTTTATATTCTTAAATTTAAAAGTATAACTACGCCATGTTTTCGAACAAATAAGGCTTGATATCAAAATTATTATAAATCTTAACTCTGTAAAGGAAAGGAGATACCTGACCTTTGTTTTTAAAGCGTATAATTAGTCCGCGATAAAGTAATTACTATTCTGTTAACCGGAATCAAAGTCGTCCTTTACTTTTGAAGGAAGTTATAAAAGTAAATAATTAACAACAGAACTCGAGTGTATTACGCATCCGACTCTATTTTTTATTTAATAACATGGTGTATGTTAATTTTAAATATCCATATTTATCCCCAATAAAAATAGTTTAATTTGCTGTCAACATATCACGTATATTTTAGCATAATTTATCTAGACTTAGATGATTCGATAACAGAACCTTATATTTTATAAAAAAAAATATTTAATGCAAAATATCATTAAAGCCAAGTATTTGAAAATATTTCATAAATATAAATTTCGAGGTGTCGTCTATTTATTTAAATGAACGTAAATTCAATAAATAGATAATATTTCGTGAAATATAAGATAAATCCAATGAAAAAATGAATGAAACATAACTCGTATTTTTTCTAAGTGATAGGAAATCATATTCGATTATTCTTGCCAATTGGATGGTACTCAAATGATAAGTGCGCATTTCCCCAGTTCAATGACAATGATCTACATGTAACAATGCCTCACATAGAGTGTAAGCATAGATCATTATTATATTCATAGATTATTGGAGAAATCTTCTACCAAAGGTGACACTTCATGACGCGTTTTGAATACGCCTTTATGCATTTCGTACGTGCTTTGCCTCAATTCAATGATTACATTGTATTTCTCTCACAGATTGCAAAATTGTTTAGAAATTTAAACAACTATTTAAGTTTGTTTTAACAACTTAAAGCAGAGCATGATGTTAATTAAGGATTATTGTTTTTAAAGTGAAAACCTGTTATGTCAACTAAATAGAAGGATGTTATTACTGATTCATAACTAGAATTAGTGCTGGCTTAGAATGCGTTAGGCATACATAACGAATGTCATAGGTTCAAGTACGGGGGAACAACAATTGTTTACAAGGCACAGCAGGACTTATTAGTGTTACAGTATGTCGCAGTAATTTTACTAAACCTTGATATGTGTATTTCAATATTTACAGCAGATGTTAAATAACTTTTGCCGTATTTACCTGTCTCTGTGTTTTATCCGGTAATATGACGGAGAGTTCAAAAGACCTATTTTTCTTATCACGGCTGCCCGAACGCATAAGCTTAGTTGATCGGGTGATGCTTTGGGCTTTCTCAGGCAACTTCATCGCCACTATGGACATGCTTCGGGACAACCTTCGTCCCAATTTTCGCGTACGCAGCGACATGGACCCGCTAAGTCCACGCTTGCGGACCTCGGGAGCCTCTGCGCTCTCCTCGGTACCAGCCATCGCACTGTCACAAATTTCACGGGGTCATCAATCACACAAACTTGACACTTGAGAAAGTTCAGTGATTCACGAGATCCGTCTTTCACAATTGCACTTTTAAATTGTTAATCCGCATCGTAACTGTGCACCGATATCCGAGAAGGCACGGCGGATCATATGGTCACGAAGCCGGTTTAAGACTGAACTATCCCAGATTTAACGGATAGTAAAAATCAATCGTTTTATAACATAACTGGACTACGTATAAATAACCGATTATATTGCGTATGTTACGTTTAAATAGGGCGCGTTATCGTGTTGTGACCGCGACGCGCGCCAAACTTCGCGAACGACGACTACACTGTGTACCTACTGAATACTGACTAGAGGCAAAACGCGAACTCAGCGCATCGTGTGCTGCCCACTCATTTAGTAGAGAATGCGCTACATTTTGCAAATACAATATTGTTTATATTCAAAACGCTGCTTCATATTGTAACAGACTTCAAATTCTTCGTGATTTTTCAATGTAATCATAGTCCCTAGTCTGTGGACCCATCTGGTGATCGAATGTTAAACGATTCGGATTCACAGCAAATAGGGCTTATAGAAAGGTTGTTGTAATCAGCTTTCTTTGTGTATAGAATTACTTTTAAAGGAATTTATTGTCAATATGCTTTTGTGCTTATTTAATGCAACATGATAACCAAGTGTTAACAACTACCTATATGCAGCATAATCTAATTACTAATATGAGCAGGTATTTTACTGATAAAATGTTGTTAAAACTTATAAAAAGAGTACATTACACACATGTGTTGTTCTATTAAACGTACATTAAAAACTAGAGCTTGCTTAACGGATATAGCGTTTAACATGGAGATTTGATTCTCGGCGATACAATATTTGTTTCTACAATTTTCATACTATTAATGTAGATGTCATTTCTTTCACTAGCAAGTTATGATGGTTTGATTCTACATTTTCAGCGCTAAAACCGCTAGAGTCGTAACAAACAGCAATCGCCTCCACTGTAACCAAAACAAAATAGAATCCTATTATCGAATGTTACTGTATCAAAGCTATGACACTTAACAAATGTTCGTTTGTCTTCACAATAAGCGCTCCCACGAGATTTTTGACATTGATTCAGGACGTTCTCAATACACTTAACGGGATGTTTTAAGGCTTTAACTATTTGTCTATGAATATTACAACTAACATTTTCGGTAGTTTCGAATATAGCACTGGTTTGTACTAAGAGAGTTGATACCACAGTAAAACAGCTGTAGAGCACTAACATTAATTATTTATTTACATCACGATATAAAAACCATTAATAAGATATATAATTTAAAAAAAGGCCGCCGCTTACTGTAAGTTGTTACTTTTTTTCGCTATTTAGCGATCTCTTCCAGGCGACCCTAGTTTTCACTAACTACTTAATTGGAAAGCACTAAGAGAAGAACATACATGGTCGCTCAGTTTTCGTAAATTAAATATTTTTTAAATTATTATTAATAGTAGGTTAAGAATATTGTAAATAAATTTATTTAAATGTTTGCTATACATATATACATTATAAATAAGGTATAGAGCAAAATAAAAATATGGGTGTAGGTACTTGGAAGCATTTTGTAAAAAAACATTGGTGAGTGAAGGGATTTATTGCCAGTTCTTCTCGTCTGTTCTTCGACCTTGATTTGAGAACTGGCAGTTAATTTAAATTTAGAACCACCAATTTTATTTTACTGGCGTTCATAAGTGTACTTTAAGTTTCAATGAATAAATGGTATTTTCAATTTTATTACAAATTATTGCATAATTTATAACTTTTTTTGAGCGTCGGGTTGCCTGGAACTAATAGCTTGTCACTGATAAAAACGTCGTGCAATGTAATTTTTTTAAATTGTTTTCTTGTGCAATAAAATGATAAATATAAAATATGTTTCCTTCCGTTACCTAGATTTATCAAACCGTTCTTCAATATTAACGCTCTATCATCATAATCTGTCCACAGAGTTTTGCTTGCTTAAACACGAAAAATAAACTTATTTACTTTGTATACGTCCTTGGTCTTCTTGAAGTCAATGAAAGGTATCTTCTCCCTGTTTTCTTTTTTTTTTTTAAAGACAATTCACACCAATTGACCGAGTCCCATGCTAAGCTGGTGAAGCTTGTGTTATGGGTACTAGGCAACGGATATACATACATATTATAGATAGATAGACATATAAATACATATTTAAACACCCAAGACCTAAGCACAACACCAAATGCTCATCACATCGATGTTCCTCTCAGCCGGGGATCGAACCCGGGACCCATGGATTTGCAGTCAGGGGTACTAACCACTAGACCAATGAGTCGTCAACGTTTTTATTCAGTGTCTAACTCAAGTCGACAATTTTGTAACTTTTTAATTTCATACTATTTTCTTCGTCTAGCTTCTTTATTACAGTTTACATAATACCTAGCTTATTTAACGTTGCTATTGTTTCCATAATATTCTTAACATATCATTTTCAAGGTAATCATGGTACCAACATATCTTCTAACCTGTAATATAGTAAAGTTATGTACGAACTACGAACAAAACACTTCTAGATTATTCTTGCAATTTCGTCGTGTATTTCAGATTTGGGTTTGTTCTGGAATCCAACGATTTTGGTGTATGTAAAACATAACAAATAAATGAAAGAACATTGAACTCTTCTGGGTGAAGGCGCACGTTGGCACAACGCGAGGTCGGACACTCTGACGGTTGGTCATCTGGGAGACGGGGATGAATAGGGTACGCGTATCCGCTTTCCTACTCGCGACGAATGACAAGGCTCGAGACGCTAGCTCTATGTGGGGGGTGAAACAGCCTCAGTCACAAATGTTTTTCAAAAATGCAAACGCGCCATACAAACAAGTTTGTTGCTTTTGGACACTATTTACTCGGGGATCGAACTACAACCTCAAGGATGAGATTTGCATGCTGAAGCCACTAAGCCAACCCTGCTCACCTTATACCGTAAAACTAAGTTTTAATCTTCATACTGTTTATCAAACTTTGTCGATTATGTCACAAAACATAGACAATCTTTTTGCAAACATTGACAAATACCGTGAGAATTTTGACAAGTTGTCTCGTTCCAAAATAATATTTTTTTTATATTTTATTTTAAAATTGCTTTCCGATATAGTTAAAATGCAGTAAGTATTGTCGAGAAAACAGTTCAAGTATTTAACGAGGTTACATTGACGTCACTTACCTTGCAGTTCACAACTTACAAGTTACCATTTCAATGAATATTTTCCATACTTTATTTTAATACAATTTAAGCCTATTGTTGAAATTAAAAAGTAATGTCTTTCAAATACACTAACAATGTAACAATTGGTAATATATATTTTGTAGAGGGATTCGCGTGCCAAAATGCGCCGAAAACAAGTTATAAATAAAGTCAAAAGCCAAGTAAGAGCTTAAAAAAATTAATTCTCATGCATAATTAGGTATTTAACCTTACAACTTTCTAACTGCGTGACTAAATAAAAGTGTAACCGCAGTAATTAAATTAGAGTTTACTTTCCTCTTTTTTTTTTGGAGTTTATGGCCTGGTATCTAGTCTAGACCTTTAGGCCAATTACTTTCCTCTTAGTTAGTTAAAGCCACAGAACAACATAAACGTATTGTCTTCGCTACACAAAATGCGGTTTGCGACATAACACTCCGACCTTCGACTTTGCACATTGACTTGATTCTAGCAACTTTCAAACAATACATCTTACTAACCAGTATAAGTAGGCGTTTACGTATAAAACAGTTATTATTTATAGGAAATATAATTGCTTATTATTTACACAAAAAGACTTGTCAACTGTGGTCGAAAAATTTCAAGGATGCTCTTGCTCAGATACAAGCAAACGTCTTGAGCATTAAACTAGAGAGCGGGGGAAAGATTGCGCACCGTAACTCACTCTTTCCCCTAGTGATACCTAAAAATCGCTTCTGCGCAGGCAAGGACATTTTTCAAGATGTTTGCCGGTATCTGTGATTGGATTAATATTAAGCTGCTCTATTGTATATGATTACGATACTATCAACCCTGAGATCCAGCAGTTAAATCGCTGTGTATCAATGATCTTCTATGCGCGCATTGAACACTGCAGGGAATATAACAGATAAAACTGAAGGAAACCGGCCTGTCTAAGATCTAGAAATCGACAACACGTGTATAGCACAGAAGGCCGATCACCTAATTGTCTATAAATGAAAAGGTTATGGTTCGCTTATTGTATTGTAGGTGTCGTGTCCAGATTACTTGGCTAACTTAGACATGCCACTTCTTGATATGGCCTGGACGTTTAACGTTTTTTGGCACTTATTTTTAAGTCTTGTTCATATTTATACAAATCTAAAACTTTAGATTTCCGAGACTTAGAGGGAGGGAAAAAGATATGTTAGGAATTTCTATGAATTTAATTATCATTAAACTGTTTGAAGTGTCGAAAATATACATTATAATTTTTTTTATTTATTTCTTCGGTGATAAAAACACGTGGCATTTTAATTTACAATTCTTCGTTTGAGATTTCAATAAATTATTTTGTATAAAATGTAAAATGCTAATAATTCATAAATTGTCTTTACGAAATTTTAATTTTAAAAATAGAATTTCTATAAGGTAATTCGCCCTTCTCGCTCTCTCTCAATCGCTGTCAATCGCACTCTCCCTTTTCTTCGACAAAAACGCTGCACATGTTCGTGACTAATATTATTAATATTGCGTTTCATCCGTAAAATTTTTACCCTCATGCGCCTAAAGAAGTTTCACTTCAAGAAATATCGATACATGTATATAGTATTTCAATATCCATTTTACCTTCGAATCAGCTTCCTGTATACAATTTAATCGTGGCAGTTTCAAATATTTTATTACTGCAAGGTACTTTTAGTAATGGAGTCCGAAGTTTGATGTCGTCAACAACAACTTGACCATCTCATGTCGTTCAATTTTAAAACCTTTTACTAATTATGCGTTTCTTTTTAATAGTAAGATTGTTTTATTGTTACTTTAATTTATGGTGCGTTTATTGCACCAATGTGCAAAGCTTTTAAATCATCATCGAATCAATTTTATACTTTACACATACATTTTAACATTCTATAAATAAGTAAATTCTTTGCAGGGAGCCTCAATCAACTTGGAAGAGTGATAGTGACTGGAAGGCAAGATATTACAAGTTGTACTCATCTCGAGGTCTATCTATGTTAGTAACGTTTTTTGATTATTATATATCTCTATATATACGTAGTATTGCCTCTATGCAAGGTGTTGGTACAATGTAATGAAAGGCATGAAAATTTTATTTTGATTCAGCCACAATTTCTAGCGGAACACGCGACCAGTATCTATTTATTTATTTAGTTTACTTAATCATACAAAGTACTAAATCTACGGTGTATTTTGCAAAATCTTCCATCTAAAATTTATGACAATAAATGTAAACATAAGTGTTACAATTTTTTTTTATATATAGTAGTATCGTCAAATTCAGTAAAAATCGTATATTAATATAGCTTATTGGTCGTGGATAATTTAGCATAAACCTTCAATACTTTGAAAATTTTAGCTTAAAAGGGACATCAAGTATGGGACTTACTGATAAGAAGTATTTAAATTTCCTAAAATAAGTTTCACTTCCCTTAACCTCCCAGTAGACATGTTAAGGGTATTATTACAAATTTTACTGTTTCTAACCCGAAACAATTGTTTTAGCAATTCGATCCCGTTACGTGCGTAAATCAGAATTCAGAGGCCATTATTAATATCTACACTAATATTATAAAGAGGAAAACTTTGTTTGTTTGTTTGTTTGATTGTAATGAATAGGCTCATAAACTACTGGACCGATTTTAAAAATTATTTCACCATTCGAAAGCTACATTGTCCACGAGTAATATAGGCTATATTTAATTTTGAACGAAAATAGGGTTCCGTAAGATATTAGGGTTTTTCGGACACAAGGTGTAAAAAATCAACCAAAAAAGTTACTTATTTTGCGTACCCTGCCTAAACTATTAAAGATAGAACCATAAAATGTTCTAAGTAATTGTAGATCTTATAAATATCTACAAAAAAGTCCGCGACACACTATACCTATCTATGTCGAGTGAGGCACAATAACCATAAATGATATAATGACATGGCAAAACGGCGTTTGCCGGATCAGCTAGTAAATAATAAAAATGTCTTTATTATTATAACAATGCATTACAATGTGTAAGATTTGGGAACCCTTTAATAAAAAATACCTGTGTCAGGGTTCCCAGCTCTCACACCAGCTCACACATAACGTAGTCTGCCAACATTTTGCGTCTTTAGAAACAGCATAAGATCAAATTATTATAATAAAGCGAATACAAGCGTCTAAAAGTATTTCTAAAGACCTTCTTTGGACCACTGACTCAATATGTTCCGATGGCATTTAAATCAGTACCTGTTTTATGCCAATTATTTAGTTCATGTAGCCGGACACCAAGGCCAATTGTCCACAAGTTGTCTCAACAAATAACCTCTTACATGACTCACGAGTGATTCATCTATATTAAGTCAAATGTTAAAGATGTTTAATCACAAATACACAATTGGGATTTAGTTTCTGCGAAAACAATCGGTTACTAAAAACATAGCAAAGTTCAGCTTCACACTTGTCAGATTTTTTTTCTATAGGGGTCAAACGAGCCGAGAAACAATCGGTATTGAATCTCATAGACTTTTAGGTTTGCAGGCCTTTGAGGGAACTCCTTCTACATTTCGGCCTATTTTTAAAAATTCAATTTCAATGTATTTTTAATTTTACTAAAGAATTTTTTCTTTAGTTTAATCCACTTAAATAGGTAAAACGTCCGCTGGCCAATTCCGTGAAAAATAAAACTGAATTAAATTGTTACATAGTTTATTTATGATGTTATTTTTATCTAACCGTTTTTAAGGTATTTATACATATCTTTGTAATAAATCCCATCTTTTAGTAGAGGACGAAAAATATTTATATAGTTCTTGCACAATATTAAAAACGTTCGGTAGTGTTGTCATAAGTTCAGCTTCATTTATTATTAAATTTAAACTATGGCTGGCGCCCGGGCAAAAAAAGGGGGGGGTTTTTCTTTCCCCCCCCCCCATTTTTTCCCCCCCCCTTTTTGGGCCCTTTTCCCCCCCCCCCCCCCCTTTTTTTTTTTCCCCCCTTTTTTTTTTTTTTTTTTTTTTTTTTTTTTTGCCTCCCCCCCCCCCCCCTTTTTTTTTTTTTTGGGGGGGGGGGGTTTTTGGGGGGGGCACTTGTCTAGGCAATTTCTTCTTAACTTTTTAGTAAATTTTAAAGTTTCTTTTTGAAACGTCATAGCTTTATATTTATATTCGACATAAATTACTCAGAGATAATTTCTAAGCTAACACATATCACCATCATTTTTTAAATCGTACTCAAAGTAATTAATGTTAACTAACCTAGCTAAACCCCCCCCCCCCGGGAAATTTTTTTTTTTTGTTTATTGGGGGGGCCCCCCCTTTTCCCCCCCCCCCCCCCCCCCCCCCCCCCCGTAGTTTTCTAAGTTTATTCGTAGCAAACATAATTCTTTATACTTGTAATGTTTAAGAACTTTATTTCTCATTACAACAAATGTATTTTTATTTACACGAGAAACCTAATATGTATATACGAACGAGATACACGTCGCCATCAGCCTTTCCAATTTTAGTTTACTAGGCTCATTCTGATCTGTATCCTTAATGCCCTTTTGAATTGGTTAAACGCGCTAATGTTACAAGTTTTAGACGGTAATTAATTAAACAATTGCACACCCTCATACTTAATAGACTTCTTCAAATAATTTGTACGCGGCAAGTATAGATAACGTCAATATCAATACTATTTAAATACTATCTTAACGTGAGGGTCGGTACAGGGTATTGTATATCCTGTATCCCCTATCTGAATTTGTTCCGTGGTCATTTCTAATAGGCATGTAGGTGATCAACCTGTGTGTTCTGTACCTGACACAAACCGTAGACATTTTTGTCACGATGTTTTTCTTCACGGTACGAGCGAGTGTTAAATGCACACAGAAAGTCCATTGGTGCATAGCCGGGGATCGAACCTACGTCCCCACGGATGGGAGTCGCACGTTGAAGCCCAGGCCAACACTGCAACCAGTGGCCAATTACATTTATAATACGAAGGTATTACTAATATTTCAGCCAGAAAGAGGATCCACCACGTCGTATATCATTCTTGAACAATGAGATATCTCCCTACGCCTCTCTTCTTATGAAGTTACGAGCGAGCAACGAAGGGTCCATGACTTCGACATTACCAACCCCACCTTACTTCAGATCCCTAATGTCACAACAAAGTGAAAGTAACCGAAGTCAGTGAGTGTCATTATATAATTTGAATTATGGATGTGACGGAAGTGCGATTTCACTACGATATTTGAATGATATGGTATCGGTAGGAATTCGGAAAAAATTTGGCCTGGTGGGAAAGTTGGTATATTTTCCGGAACACACGTTGGTTATTTAAATATATTTTTCACCGAAAAATTTAAGTCAGCGTAGGTTCCAACTTTAATCAAATCACAAATTTAACTACTTAAGTTATTGTCAGACAAAATGGCGGGTGTTTATAGCATTTTTTTTTAATGTAATAGGAGGCTCGCCTGGTTAAGTGATACCGCCGCCCATGGACATGCACATTGCCAGAAGGCTCGCAAGTGCGTTGCCGGCCTTGTAATATCTGTTAAACGATACTTTGGATTATTTTTAAATTGATGTTATTTAAATTGTAATGTCATAGTTAATGTTAAATTGATGGTATTTAATATCTGAGAAAATAATTATATTTATATTGGACTTTACCGTTTTTTTTTTTACAAAAGTACGAAAGGCCAAGTTACGTATTGACGTCAAGTAGGTAAAATCCAGAACTATATAAAGCCTTTTACCGTATCTCTTCTCTTCTCAGGATTCTTAAGGAAATTATAAGATTCTGACAGATCACTAAACCAAGGTTATATTTTTATTGTCGCATTCGGGACGGAGTTCCCTTTGGATGTTTTTCTTTTTCTCGCACCCTTCTGATAGTGGGCGGTACGGGACGGGCAACTCTCGATGGGGGCAGACGAAGTCGTAGTCACGTGGTGGACTGAAGATGCTCGACTCGGTTCTGGGGTGTCATACCCGTCAGGGCTTGCCCACGGGGCCATTTAGTAATATCAACTTTGACCGGGTGTCGTGGTTGGTGGTGGCGGGCAGACCCCCAGTTTTGTTTATATAATAGGGGGGCTAACGAGCTTGACGTCGAGCGGGACGTCCAAAAATGGCAGTCATCGCAGCCCATAGACACCCATTTTTAGTGGGTGCGTTGCCGGCCTTTGAGGGAGGAGTATACTCGCTTTTTGTCCGGTTGTCCCAGGAGAGCTCAGCGGACCATTAATAATATTAAGAATACAATTTTATATTTACCATAGATATATAAATTATAGAATGATTAACTAATGTTATGCCATAGACGTTAATGCAATATTTGTTAATTAATCAGTTGATACAGAAATGAGACAAAATTATTTTACCTACAAATATTTGCTTCGAAGCTTTTCAATCGTTATCTATCACGAAGAAAGAGCCGTCTGAGCTGTGTCTTAAACTAATATTTACTTTACCTAGCACGAGTCTTATTGTCTAGCTTTATCAAATAATTGTCTTGGATATAGAATCATCAAAAAAAATTTTTAACATTTCTGGAAAATACACTTTCAATCTTCTGAAAAAAGTCAGTCTTCGGCCAAGGGCTCTATAATTTATTTCGTAGTTAACTTTTTTTATAGACTACGTGTTTATTCCTCAGATCAGAAAACTCCTGTTTAGACACACTGCTTCTAAATATGGTGCGATCTCAAAGCAAAGAAATACGCGACGAAGTTCAAGACAGGACACCTGCTTTACCCAGTGAAAACCTTATACAAGAGTAAGACAATAATTTAAGTATGAGAAAGTTAATGTTCTAGCATACACACGTGTTGCCAGGCGCAAATAAAAGTTACCTGTAATGATAGTATTGCCATTTAGTTTTATCTTTTATTTTATTATTACTTGTATCACTAATGTTAATAAGTATTATATTTATTTGATGTCATAGTATACTATTTTATATTACATAGAAGGAAGATATAATTACTTTTCAGCATTAAGGTCTTGGGCGTCAATGGGACTATATAAAACGAAAACATGACATGCCGTATTCGAATGAATTTATAATAATAAACTATAAAATACAATTTCAAAAACAAACCAAAAAGTATCGTAAAATTTGGATTCTATTTTTAAGCTATGCAGTATTTTAGCTTTTAATTTCTAATATTTTTGTATCAGGCCGTTTAACGAGCCATGCATCCACGGGTTGAGTCTGCGCATAACTGATCGCAGTGTATCCCGATCACGTTTTTCTCGAATTTCCACACGTCGCGACATGGATATACCTTCTATACTGGCATTTAGCGCTTCTGATGACACACCGGTAAGATAATGAGATAATAATAAAAACAATATTTACATCAAAGACAGGTACCTAATAATTCGATTAACAATCGATCTTAAAGCGCGATCTTACTGCAAAAACTGTGCTAGACGTAATTGATAGTGTAGGTACATGTACGGCGTATTATGAATTGTTATGAAGAAAATATCTTTTCTCGCCTCCAAGTCTCCTTTTCATCATTCACTTCATTTTATTCTGAATTTTTCCTGTTTGGATATCGTTTTTTGCTATCTATTTAGCGAGATTAACGAAGCCGTTCATCAATCAGAACGCAATTATCGTTAAAAGATACAACTAGACGATGCAAGGCTTTATTTCAACAGCCTTTATTATTTTCTCAAGTGCTCTGTATATCACAAAACACTCACAAACAAAACTATGTATATACAATAAACACTGACATATATAAAATAAATTAACTATGTATAAATAGGCCCCTGTAGAAATACCGGCGTTCCAAAAGCCAGCTTCACCGAAAAAAGAAGAGAGGCCAAAATGGTCCATCCGTCGCTCAGTATGCCCTGTCTGTTCCCAAAAATGGCGAGACCGCAGCGCCCTTAAAAATATAAGAGCTTCAGGTATATAACCTTTAATAATATTATACAGTTTATACTGAGACCCAATCTGACTGTTATACAGGTAACTATCTGCCCCGCGAACTTCGTTCTTCTTAATGCCTAGCATACCTTTTTAGAACATACCAACATGGAACATTTTGCTATGCTACCCCAGGGACTGTTTGGTTTTCCGGAATGAAAACTTTTTAGGTGATTTTCCTATATAAACCTCACAGTTCAAGTTATAACTATAATATTCTTAACTAACAAATAAAAAATAGGGGTTGATTGTAGAGGGTAGATAAAATTAAGGGTATATGTATTTTGTTATGCTGTATCATAAAAAAATAAAACAAAAAATTTTGTCTAAAAAATAAAACAAAATATTTGGGGTGGATAATGGACACCCCTTATCACTTAGGGGTGTGAAAGATAGATTGTAGCCGATTCTCAGACTTACTGAACATGCACAAAAATTCATAAGAATCGGTCGAGCCGTTTCGGAGGAGTATGTGAACGAACATTGTGACACGAGATTACTTCCAAAGCCAGTACGGTTCGCCTTCGACACAGCAAAGGAAATGCTTGACAAACTGAACTATGGTGGCGAGGTTATCAATATTTTTCATGTTTTGATCAGAATTCTTTTTATGCGTTTACAGATGCAATGCCAAGACATATCGGTAGTGTTAGCAAGATGGTTTCATTATTACATTATCTCTTTCATCGTAACGGCGTAATGTTTACGAAGCTATCTAATCAAATATAATTTATGTATATTGGCAACTATGTACTTATGAAATCCTCAGTATAACAAATATGAAGCACATTTAGTTTTAATGGAACACCTATTTTTCGACTAGGCTCGTGTATAATATAGGTGTAAATGGGTTTTCAGGACTTAAAAGAAATTTAACGAACGATCTACCATCAGTAATTGCTCCAGCGCGCCTGAGAGCAGCTGCAACAACAGGATAGTACGTACTTTTTATGATTATTAAACAATCCTTCATTTGAAAGTTATAAACAAATATGTATACCTATGTAATAAAACATTAGAATGAGTCATTTGTCAGTCCATTTTTGTAGTTGAATAATTTGTTTTAAGGGTATCGAAGAATCAGCGACTTAACTCATTGTTTTTCAGCACACCACGGCCTATACCAGCAGCGGAAGACAAAGACATCGGCCTTGTCTTAGGAAGTTTTAGGAGCTCCAGTAATTCATGGCAGTTGACGAGGGCCAGAAAGTTTCGTATACCAAAACCTCGCCAACCACCACCAGAAGCTTTAGCTCCAATCAGTTCAACTGCTCCAACCGCTAAAAAAGACTTAGATTTACGCGTTGATCGCTTTCTTGCTACGCAATGTTAAACTTTAGAATCTTTGCCATTTGGTTTTATGTAGGATAATTAGAACCCATTTTTATTTTTACCTTGTAAAATATAGATGAAAATTCCAGTTGAAAAGTATAGACTGTTTATATAATGAACTGAATAAAATATGAAATGCAATGATTTTTTTTTAATTATAAGAAAAAGCAAACGTATAAATTAGTAACATGTCAAAAATTCTCGAAAATATTTCATTAATTTATGGCATTGTAAAATCAAAAACATAATTAACAGTTGAAAATGCTTCACAGTGCACAGTATGTCTCAAGGCGTGTACAAAATGTTTCAACTCTACTGGCTGATAAATCGGCGCTTTGAACTCTCCAGTCACCATTAAATTCACAATGTTATTCATCATGATATCAATTTCTATGGGAGTAGCCCGAGCATTCCAATCAGCTAAGTGAAACACGTTAAAACTAACATCAGGCCGTAAACACGATTTCACCATAGGAAAATCGTAAGCACATCCATAGTAAACGATTGTTCCACCGCGCTCCAATAGCTTTAGCATGATATCTTCAAATCTTCCCCCCAAACAATTGAAGGCTAAAACGGGCCTCGTCAAAGAAGTATTGAAAGTTGAGATATTCTCTGCTTCATCAATGGTGTAAACGGCAGTCGCTCCTAGACTCATTAAATTTTTCTTAACTGCATCATATCCACAATGATTTGCAACAATGTTAATAGTTTGCAAACCCCATGCCTTACAAAGCTGAATGACACTTTGTCCACAGGGACTATTTGCAGCATTTTGAATAATTGTATCACCTGGTTTAAGACGACTAAAGTCTCTTATCATCCTGTACGCCATACATGGCGCTATAGTAAGCATACATGCCTCAGGAAGGCCTAGTTTAGGGGATACCACATGTACATCTCTCTCATTATAGATGCCATAGTAGCGCCACGTTCCTAACATCCTTGAAGTAAGCACTACCCGCTCTCCAGGTTCTACAGTGCAAACATGACTTCCAATTTCTACAACATTACCTACTCCTTCATCTCCAGGAACAGTTGGTAGCTTCGGTAATTTTCTATATCTTCCTGAAAATTAAATTTCATTAGCTATTCAAGAACTTTGTTAAGGAAATTTTATAAGTAGTTGTAGCAATAATATCAATAAATTTTATATGGATATATACAGTATATGGATTAAGTAAACTAATAATTTTATTTCAAAATTTATTTTGCATAACAAAAATAATAAGATTAGGTCATACATATACATATTTTAAATAATAAATGCTGTAAACAATGGCATTCCTATATTTTTAAGTTTTAAAAAATAAAATAGCCTTATTAATCACACAAATATTTACAATAAATAATCAATTATATGTACAATTTCATTTATATACTATTTTAGAAATGTTTCTTGTAGGTTTTTTCTTAATCTACCTACTCTGTAAAATCTAAGAGATATTTACAACCAGCAAATCCCTGTGGAGCAAGTGAATTTTTTAACACTTCTGGATAATCCTTAAATTTTATTAATTTATGTGTCGGAGCTTTTAACTCTTTAGACAACATTAGTTTTATAATTTCTCCCAACATCTGCTCTCGGGCTTCTGAGGGAGCTTTTTTATTCCATGCAGTCATCCAAAAGCCTCTACATGACATATCCTTAAATATGAATGCAGATGTAGGGACAATCACTGGTTCTCTAGACATACCACCATAGGTTACCATAGTGCCTCCATGATCCATATACCTAAATAATTGAGCTCCACTTTTTCCACCAACACAGTTCAACGCTAACAAAGGCTTCTTAACTTCCCCTTTAAAAATTTGAACACTACGTAGTTCTTCTTCTGTAAACACATAAGTTGCCCCTAAACTTGTTAAGTATGCTTTCAAATCATTGATTTCCGGTCTATTCCTGACTATATTTACAGTCTTCACACCCCAGGCTTTACAGATTTGAATTACATTTTGTCCACATGCACTGTTTCCTCCATTTTGGATCACAACATCATCTTTCTTCAGACACACGAAATCACACAACATTCTAAATGCTGTGCATGGATTGACTGTTAATGTAGCAGCTTCTACATCTCCTAAAGCATCTGGTACCACTGTAAGTGAAGATCTCTGGAATACTCCAACATCTCGCCAAGTCCCTTGTAGTGAAGTCGTCAAGATAACTTTTTTACCTCTGTTTAAATCTTTAATTTCTGAACCAACCTGTTCCACTAGACCTACACCTTCATTTCCCGGGATTGATGGAAGACTTACTTTAACTGGATATTTTCCTGAAAAATTATACAACAATATACTGAGAAAATAATCAAATAAATGCAAAATACACGCACATGAAAAATCTTAGCTATACCTTAAGTTTTCTTCAAATGTTAAGAAGCAGTATAGCAAAACATGCACCATTTTCTTTCTTTCAATAAGTCTGAAAAGCATAAGTCTTAGTTTTAAAATTACCTTGTATCGTGTTTATATCAGCAGGATTCACTGGTGCAGCCAACATTCTAACCAACACTTCTTGCTTTCCAAGAGGCGGTACTTCGCATTCCCGATATTTTACAACATGTAAGGGATCCCCAAATTCATTGTAAACCAGCTGTCTGGACATTAGATTTCGATGCTGCTGATTCCAAATAGGAACATGGTAAGAAAATTGCTTTGGCTTGAGGATGTTTAAGGTAGCTTTATGTAAAATGGTCATAACCTTCATTTTTCAGTTTCTGTATTTGCTGGACAAGTTGCAAAGAAATAATTATGTTACTTTTTCATATCGATCGATAAAATTAATAAAATATATTTAAAATAATTGAGTTTTTTGAGTGATAGCTGTAACTTGTTTTGTTGATTAAACTAATTTTTGAAAAGTTACTTTTGTAATTTTTATTTTTCTCTTATTCAAAGTTGACAAAAATCAGGAAAGGTTTCGTTTGACAATTCAAAATTGACAATAATAATGATATTCTAGAATTTGTATGACAATTGGCTTGATGACAGCTGACTATTAACTAACAACTTGAACCGGGCAAGTGCAGAAGAGAGAAATACCTATTACCTACCTAGTACCTAATACCTATTTGTATATTTATTATTTTGAAATTTGAATAAATGTTAATCGATAAATCGACATTTCTGATTTATACAAAAAATATTCTTTATATAACATTACTATTATCTCACCATTATAGCTTCTGTAAGACAATACTCCTTTGAGGATATAAAGTAACTCATTAAACGAGTGTGAAAAGGCTTTTAGATTTATACCTTTTGAGAAATATATTAGCTCGAAATGGATACAAATGAATATGAAACATTTGAATATCTTCAACCAAATAATGTAGAATCCATTCCTAAGAGGTTATTTGTAGTTCAAGATCATGGAACATATCTTTCTTGTGAGTACAAAACAGATTTTGCATAAAATCACATAAATACATTACCTATAACAGTCATCAATAATGTGCTTAAGTACAAAGTGACTAAATACTATTAAAAAGGCTGGAATACTGTAAGTCTTACAAAGCTGTAGTATTTAGTTTATGATTTTGGAGATTGTGAAGAATATTAAAGTAATCCTTTATAAAATATTATTTTTCTTATATTCTTTTCAGTTGATAAAAATGTTGATCTTAGCCAAGTTCAAAATGTGGAGCTATTGGAAGAAGTACAGCCAGTTTATGATGTCTCTCCAGAGCAGTTTTATATTGATGTTGAAGGTTCACAAGAAATTGTTGCAGTATCAGGTAAAAATAAAATGATTGTCTAAAAATATTACCATATTTGTAGTATTTCCAACTCTGTTTTTAGTTGTAGAAGTATTATTAAATGAAGATAATATTTCTGTTTCAGAACAATTTGTACTTAGTAATGAACTTCATAATGAAGACAATATTTATGAAAATAATCTTATGCTCCATGAATCCAGTTCTTCAAATATACAAGTATTATTTTCATATTTACTTCAGTATGCCTAAAGGGATTTTAGTTTTAGAAAAAATAATGCTTAGGATTATTAGGGGCTTAATATATTTTTGTATGTTTAAATTAGATTATCAAAAGGATATGTGTGACATATTATACATACAGGCAGGAGAGATACAAATATTTTAAATGCTTTTAAAATTCTGAGACTGTAAATCTTAGATAGTTTATCTACCCTTTAACTATTCAATTTTTTATATATTAATTCCGATAAAAAATAATAATAACAATATTGACAGATACAACAAACAGTTGATCAAATACCAGAGAATGTGGTTGAACAGTTTATAAAGAAAGAGCCTTCTAATGCAGAAATTAATATGGAAATGGATACCACACCCAGTAATTTCACAGAGGTAATTATATTTGTGTGCTTATTAAATTCTGAAGAACACAATCAGGAGAAGGTGTGGTTATGACTTGATACTTTTATTTTGATTACATGACATGAAACACATTAGAAGAAAGGAACCCCTGTACAATATATCATATATGTATTATTAAAGTAAATATTATTTTGTCTTCTATAAGTGTATGTGTAAGTAGTTTTTCTTGTTTTAGCCATCAAGCCTAATCACTCGGGCTGGTCGGACCTATAGTACTTATGGCTAAGACTATTGCTAGAACTGCCGCTGTTTAGAATAGGCTGTCAAAACCCACCATTTGAATCAAATAATTAAAAAATTCATTGTATGGGTTAGAGGGCCTATTATATAAACACCTAAATCATTGTTAACAATTTATTTTGTTATAGGTAATGCTATCTGATGAACAATATAAGTTTTTAGAACAAAGAGGTTGGACTTTAATTGAAAATAATGACAATATCTACTTCATTGATGGATTGGGCCTACATAACATCACTAATAATGATCGTAAGTATCTTTCAAGATATGCAATTATATAAATCTAATAAAATGAAAGTTTAATCTAGTAAAGCTACAATGCTATTTGGGTCTTGGCCAGAGATTGCAAACCTTGATCAATTCTATTTTATAGGAAAGCCTTTTGTGTCTGGCAAATGCCGGTTTTCTTATGATATTTGCATGTACCATAGGAAAAAGTGTTAATTGCGCTCATGAATTTAAAAAAATATTATATTCTTCTATTTTCTTACTTGTCCTTTCTATTACTTATATACATCTTTATTTCAGAATTAATTCAAGATTTAAAACAGAAGATGAAAGATAATGAATTAACAGAAAAAGACTCGAGGTTAAAATTCTTTATTTTTTTATCAAGGCCGGCTTTCTATATTTAAAATACCAGTCGTAAATTCTACATTTAAAACATTTAACTGTCGTACACGAATTTAGACTATATATTAAACTCAATGTTTCTAATGTTTTATTATAATTATTGAAGTGAAACGAGGTTGGAAAAAAATTTAGTGTAACATTTTTTCGTTACGCGTCACATTTTTCGGTTACGCGCCATGTTGCTTTTTGAAGTCAAACTTCTTTATCGGCGTTGGAATGAAACTTCTTTAACGACGTATGGGAGAAATTTTGTAGCAAATCGTCACGTTTTTCAATGATAGTAATAATTCTTTTACAATTAATGAAATTCTATAATAATCTTCGTAGTAATAAGGTAAAATGAAATATTTGTATTCATGTCTATGATAATAAAAGCTTTTTGTTAAACTTTATCTAATTTAACGAATTTCTGTAAAGTTGCATATAGTAGATCATTTTTCGAAAAATAAGATCATAAAGAAGTTTCACTTCTTACGTGTGTACACCTAGTACACGCACAATTTATTTCGCATTGGTAGTTAGTGAGATACTTCGAGTCAATAAATAATGCTTTTAATTAGGCGTATATATCACTAAGCAACTATTATATATTTTTAGTTTTTTTGTATTTCAACACGGCATGTTTGTCTGTTAAATTTTGTGCAATATATTTAAAGTGAAACTTCTTTATCGGCGTTGGAAAAAAATTTACCGTCACATGTTTCGGTTATGCCGTACGCGTAACATTATTCCGTTACGCGCATCTTTTTCTTGTCTCTACTACGGTTCATTCGAAGCCATTAATAACAAAAATATATATAATAACGATAACAATGATAGTAATAACTCTATTACAATTAGTGAAATTCTGTAATAATTTTAGGAGTAATAAGGTAATATAAAATAATTGTATTATTTGTATTCATGTCTTTTATAATGAAAGCCTTTCGTTAAACTTTATCTAATTTAACTTTATTTAACGAATTTCTGTAAAGTTGCATATAGTAGATCATTTTTCGAAAAATAAGATCATAAAGAAGTTTCACTTCTTACGTGTGTACACCTAGTACACGCACAATTTATTTCGCATTGGTAGTTAGTGAGATACTTCGAGTCAATAAATAATGCTTTTAATTAGGCGTATATATCACTAAGCAACTATTATATATTTTTAGTTTTTTTTTATTTTAACACGGCATGTTTGTCTGTTAAATTTTGTGCAATATATTTAAAGTGAAACTTCTTTATCGGCGTTGGAAAAAAATTATCGTCACATGTTTCGGTTATGCCGTACGCGTAACATTATTCCGTTACGCGCATCTTTTTCTTGTCTCTACTACGGTTGATTCGAAGCCATTACTAACAAAAATATATATAATAACGATAACAATGATAGTAATAATTCTATTACAATTAATGAATTTCTGTAATAATTTTAGGAGTAATAAGGTAATATAAAATAATTGTATTATTTGTATTCATGTCTTTTATAGTGAAAACCTTTCGTTAAACTTTATCTAATTTAACTTTATTTAACCAATTTCTGTAAAGTTGCATATAGTAGATAATTTTTTTGAAAAATAAGGTCATAAAGAAGTTTCACTTCTTACGTGTGTACACCTAGTACACGCACACATTTTTTGTTTATTATTACCACAAAAAAATTGAAACAACACGCCGTGAATAATTTTTTATTAATTGACGTTGATTTATGTAAATTTTAGTAATGCCACAGAAACTATAATATTTGAAGAACATTTTGAAAATAACGAAATAGAACCAAGTATTTCCTTTATAGAAGAAAAGAAGGAACCGGATATTCCGAAGTTAAATCCTAGTAAGTTTAGCTTAGAGTATTTTTTACTACTCAGATAACATTTTCTCGTGTTTCCTGTTATGCCTTGGTTTATTTTAACATCTACTGATTTGTCTGATATAAACTAATTAGCGTAAAGTAATACAATATATTAAAAGTTTCTGAAGCATTTTTTTAATTTTGTTAGGTCTATAAAAAAATGTACATCTTTCCTAGAAATTTTGCGATCAAAGTGAACTGAAGATCCTACGCCTAGAAACTTTTTTACTATAGTTTAAAATAGAATGTAATTCTAAATCAAACATCTATCGTAGTACTATCACAACCAAATGTTACCAACGTCTATTGTCTTTACCAAAATTCATAAATATAAATTTTCGTTAAACTTTTTACAGTAAAAATCTTGCCTAAGCCCGAGAAGAAAGCGAAAGAGGTCGATTTGATGCCCTCGGAAAGAGAATTCCTCGAAACAACAGTTAACGAGTTGTTAGAAAAGTACGATAATAGCGATCCCAGAATAAATAGCAATACAATCATAATTAAAACGAAATTTTCATTAAAAGGTAAGAAATCGTAAAATCTTAAGTCTCTACAAATTTTATTTCAAATAAAGCCGCTTCCGACAACTACAACTAGAGATTTCTATAAAAATAAACTCGTAAAGTAACTCATTAATTCATTCACTCACTCACTTGGACCCAGGCACTTATTCACTAACTGAAAAATCAAAAACAAAAATAAATAAAATAATAGATGTCATTAAATGATATGTTTTAAAGAATTAATTATAAAGTTTGTTATGGAAGAGATCGGAATGCTGACACAGGTATTGTTTACTTAAAAGGGTTCCCAAATACAAATGATAATGAATTGTTGTCAAATAAATAAATACATTTTTATATTAAGTAGTGAGAAGCTTCTTATTATATTAAAAGAATGAGAAGCGGCTTACAAATAGGATATACATGGCAACCGTGGATGGTCATAGTTCGACTTGGATTCTATGACATGTCGGTTTCCACACGATGTTTTCCTTCACCGTAGATCAGACAGAAAGTCCATTGGTACAGCCGGGGATCGAATCTACGACCGATGAGAGTAGCTCGCTGAATCCACTAGGCCAACACTGCTCAAGAAAACGCACCAGTTTTAAAAACTCGACAACGCACCCGAGAGCTTTCTGGCATTGAATTTTTATGTGCGATATCACTTAACCACCACCGCTTGCCGCCTGACCTATGAAAAAAAAACATGTGGCACTCGGGTACTGCCGCGGTAAAGCTATTGCATAGCATTGTTTATCAACTTATGCAATTATATTTATTGATGCAGTATTTTTTTTTTCTTTGATATTAATTCAATCTACCACTCTACCACACTCAGACAAACACGCCTATATAGTCTGTCTCATTCTAACGCGTACCGGCTGCACCGGCCGCGCTTACGCTACATCACCGATCTCGTCAGAGAGATGTGAATACGCAGTATGCGTTCTGTCCCGCTCTAACGCGTATTGGCCGCACCTATATTACGTCATCGTGTGTTAGGTTTTTTCGTTACGGAATTTCTTGATTCGGTCGCCGCGCTCAAAGCCCGCGATAAAATCTATGAAATAGCTTAACAGGTCTTGTTACTTTTGAATTTTTAGATATTCCTTCAGAAATAGTTTTGGGAAAGACTGTAAATGGTAAAAGACTCATAGCAAGAGTGACGAAAAGGGAACGACGCGAGGCTTCTAAAGTGACAGATAACGTTGAAAGGAAGAACCATAAAACGCGTAAGTATTAAAAGTAAAATGCGGTCTCCATGAATGAACTATCCGTTACAATTTTTTTTCGAACCATTAGATTAGCGCGAAACAAACGAACGAAGATTATTAACAATAGATTACAAATTCCTTTGATTTTTGACGAATTTTATTTTCTCTTTTAAATGATATCAGTGTGCTTTGCCAGAATTTGCCAACTAAGTCTTAGTTCGCGAACTTTACGAGAAAACCTTAAAACTTGAGATTGAGATTCGAAACTTAGTGGTAAGAATGACTCCCATTTGCCATTCTAAATCTTAGCGCTCAGTATGACTCCCATTTGTCAAAACCGTTTTAAAAATCTAACCTTTGCGACTCTGTGCCCGCATAGACGAATGTTGAATATTCAAGGTTTTTCTATTGTCTTTGGTTAATCGAATTTAAAAAGGAATATAAAATATTAATGAAAAAATTACCACCATCAGCTCAAACAAATGCGTTCGATCAAAGAATCGAGAAGTTACTACAGCAAGCTATCTGTGGTGAAATGCCTCCCGTAACTGACAAGGATGTGATCGATAACGCGGACCGCCTCATAATACAATTATTACGAGTACCCGCATTTAAACCAGCTGTAATTGAAAAACGGCTTATAATAACTAAGGTAACAGAATCTATCGAGAATAGAAACCTAGTGAGAATGTAAAGCGCGATTCGCTTGATTGTGATTGGTGAAACAGAGTAATTGCGTGTCTATGACTAGACTAGCTATCTACGAGGGGAGGTCCAAAAGTTCGTGGAAGAAAGGGTTTTAGTAAAAATGAAACATAAATTTATTTTTCCTTTCAATATAATCACCCAAGCTGAATACATTTATTAGATCTATGAATTAATTTTTCTAAACCATCGTAAAAATATTTTTATCTTTTCCCTCAAAATGAGAAAATTGCCTCCTTTACCTCATTGTCGTCGGAAAATTTCCTTCCCCTTAAGTCTTTTTTTAAATTGGGAAAAATAAAATACTTGGGGCCAGATCTGGACTATAGGGTGGGTGGATAGTGATTCGAAGATTGTGTAGAGAGCATTCAACTTTGCTCTTTGAACGGCGCGTTGTCTTGCAAAGCAACACACCCTTGGTCAATTTTCCCCGACGTTTTTCTTTGATGGATCCTTTAATTTTTCTAGTATTGTTGCGTAGTATTCTCCGGTTATGGTCCTGCCCTTTTCTTTATAATCAATCAGTATATCCCTCAAATCAAAAACAGTGCATCAACTTTCCAGCCGATCCGACACTTTGAATTTCTTTGGCGGTGGTGTCCCTTTTATGCCATTGCATGGACTCTTGTTTGATCAGCTCAAGTATGAACCATGTTTCATCGCCGGTAACAATTCCTCCAAAATCGATCCAGGATCGTCCTACACAACTCAAAAAATGTTTTGAGCTTCGAGCGCTGCTGTTTTGAAGCGGCGTGAGCATTCTCGTACCATCTTCATGACTTTTGTCATACCCAGGTGGTCATGTAGGATTCGCAAAATTGTGGTATCTGATACTCCAACTAATGCAGATAACTGTTTTTTCTTCAAACGGGTGTCCTCAGTACAATTTTTTCCACTTTTTCGACGATGTCTGATGTGGTGGCCTCAACTGGCCTTCCTGAGCGGGGTCGTCTTCAATCGACTCCCGACCATGTTTAAAAAGACCATGCCATTTGTAAATCATTGATTTACTAGGGCACTGTTCTCCTAAACAGTTTCCATTTCATTCAAAATGGTCTGAGCGTTCTTTCCTTGCTTGGTAAGGAATTTAATGACAACGGTGTTCAATTTTCTCCATAGTTTCAGTTTTCTTCCGGATTGACGTGTTTAGCAGGCGAGTGTTCGTAAACGAATGACGCAATAGGGCTGAAACTCCATTTATATACTATTTGAGTCCCCAATTAGTATGACATAACAACCCCTATCCCCCTCCATCCTCCATTCCACGAACTTTTGGACCTCCCCTCGTACCTTCCAAAGAAATTTTAAATTGAGAATTAACGTGTAAAAAAAAAGAAATCGTTTAATGAAAATGTATGTTTTGAAAAAATGTAAAACTGGTTCATGTGAATATTAAAAGATTGTCCATGGGCAACATATTACTTGGACTCAGATTTCTAAATCTGTTTCATGATCATTTTTAAATCTAATAGGCAAGTAGGTGATCAGCCTCCAGTGCCTGACACACGCCGTCGACTTTTTGGGTCTAAGACATGTCGGTTTCCTCACAATGAAGAGCAGTATTGTCCTAGTGGCTTCAGCGTGCGACTCTCGTCCCTGAGGTTGTAGGTTCAATCCCTGGCTGTGCACCAATGGACTTTCTTTCTATGTGCGCATTTAACATTCGCTCGAACAATAAAGGAAAACATCATATTACTTAACACCAGCCCTGCAATTCTGTAACTCACTTCTGAAAAGGTGGGAGCTTGTAGTTTATTGTTTATCGGAATGCCAAATCATAAAATGAGTGCTTCACGACTGATTTGAGAGCGACCGCCGATGCGAAAACCGCTGTGTGAGTTCGACAAGTGAGTTACAGAATCGCAGGGCAGGTGAGAATTCTGCCCGTTTGTGATTTCATGATTTTTCAATAAGCTATTTAGATTAAAATTGTTTGTCCCTCTGTTATATTTTCAAAATTCCATAAGAGTAACTAGAGTTAATAATAAAAAAAATAATACTCTCCGCGCACACTACTAAATATTTTTACACATTTCCACCATACTTCAGATTTCGATAACAGAGGACGAGGAACAAAATCCAAAAGCGGAAAGTGGTCCATTGTTAATTACTGGACGAGTCGTTAACAAAGGAGACGATCAGTGGAGTTTCCAATACATACCGGACATGCTTCAAAGGTTAAAAGAAAATGGCGCATGTGAGGAAGGTATGTACATAACAACGCAAAATGGAAGAAAACACTTTTTAACCGGATTGAAGTTATGTATTATTATAAATTTACATTATTCTAGATAGATATATAGAGGACACCGTGAGCCATTTCTGCCAAAACCCTCCATATTTTAGTCGATACCAACTCCGGGGAAATAAATACAGATAATACAACTTTTTCTACAGCTGTGATACTTTTTGACATTCAACACCTTTTGTCTTCAGTCACCGTGACCACGCACGCTGTAAAGCACGCGAAACGTCAGTTAAATTTAAAATTATGTTAAATAATTGTAAATTTATAATAATTCATAACTTTAATCCGGTAAAAAAGTGTTTTCTTTAAATGTGTAAAGGTTATGTCAATAAAAGACAATACTTAACGCAAAATGGAACTAATTTTAGCCTACCCACTGTCAAATAAAATTTTCTTTGTGTATACTTTTAACTAGATATGTATGGTATTATTTTCTAGGAAAATTATTAATATTAATTGGGACAATTGATAGATTATTAACAATCTTTACATAAAGGCCTATTGGTTCTTCAACGAGATGCTTTAAATAATAGGGGATATTATTTTTTCTCTATATTCACACTCTAGTACACGTCTTTGTTAAGATGTATTTAACTAAACATTTAATGTTTAAATTTGTAAATACCCTCAAAATAATGAGAATTATTATGGTGACAGTTTTTGAAATCGGTTACGTAGTTTTTAAATTTATTCCTTTAAATAGCGTAGAAAAATACAAATCTTTCCTTTTTGTATAAATATAGATTATATTATTAAGAATGGCTTGGCCAATACATACAATGTGTATGTTTTACGTTTACTAAAAGTCTCTCGGTTTTCGAGATATTCGACCTTTGCGTAAATACAAAAATAGCTTACATTTTGCTACTCTTTTTGGTGCCATACTCCAGGCAAGGAATTTTTTCAATCTGTTTTTTAGATAGTATTGCTGCATATCTATCGAGCATACGTCATCTGCGATATCAAATGTAAACTATGATTTTTCTTCTATACATTGACTTCTATGTATAGTCTATAGACTACAATGTCTCTGCCAATTTCCTTCTTCAATATATAAAAGTCTCGTGTCACAATGTTTGTTCCCATACTCCTCCGAAACGGCTCCACCGATTCTTATGATATTTTTTATACATAGTAAGTCTGAGAATCGGCTCCTATCTATCTTTCAAACCCCTAATTGATAAGGGGTGTCCACCCCAAAAAAAATATTTTTTATTTTTTAGACAATTTTTTTTTGTTATTTTTTTATGATACAGCATACAAAAATACATACAACCCTTAATTTTCATCTACCCTCTAGGATCAAACCCTATTTTTTATTATAGTAGATAGTTATTTTTATTAAACTAAAAATATATCCTACAAATAATATACATGGCAACGTATGCCGGGCCAGCTAGTTATATATAGTATTAGGTATTAGGCTTCTACTGGCTAGGCTAGTCATGTGTTAGCCGTCAGAGACAGGGCCCCATGAGGCGTGATGAGCGTCGTGACCCTCTGGGCCTGGACCGGGCCTTATCAAATTCATAGCAGTTTGAATTAAAACAATCCAAATCGGTCACTTTACTAATACAGGGTATTGAACGCCTGCTTTGAAACCTAGACCCGACATTGCATTGTGGGAGAATTACATCCACCATTGTATTTCCAGGATTTAAGGATCTTGTAAAAAACAAAGGAAATAGCGATGTTGATGTCAATCTCCTGCAAATACACATACAGGAAGTAATTGGTCCCGATGGATGTGCAAGGTGTTCCATTACATTGCATCGCAGAGGTAATTATTAATTACAGTGTAAAAACGCTTTATAACGCCATTCTTTATAACAAAAAATGAGTTAAATTTGTTTGGTTCAACCCAAAACCCATACATTAGTTCATTCTTTATAATGCAACCGACATTCTTATTTTCATATTTAGACATCAACAACATAGTTAAGTGTAATTGTTTTTATAATCAGCTTACAAAACTAACTTATTGAGGTGCTGAAATTCCTAAGAAAGACACCTGAGGTCATGAACAGCCTTCTCGCCTCGCTCGCCTCGGCCTGTAGGAAATTTTGGTCTCAGTTACTAAACGCACCATCGTGACCTATCTATTAAATATATATTATTTTAATTGGTTAAATTTGTTTTAAACGAATACTCTCCATAACGAAAAAAATGCTCAGTCCCTTTAAATTCGTTATAAAGAGTTTACACTGTATATCGAATAATTATATATGTATATTAAATCTACGTTGTGCTTTTCGAGGGGAGGCCTCGTCTGAACCAGTCCTTTAAAGGTGGGGTAATCTGTGGAGGCAACAGTTGTGCTATTTGAAATATGTTCTTACAACGAAAGTAATGTCTTGCGTGCGGCATTTTCGTTATGTCGAGGTAAAAAGTGCGTAAATATCTCTTTAAAATTTAAATGTATTGTATCTATACAGGGTGGCCAAAAAGTCGTGGATCAAACGCAAATAGGGGATAGATGAGGTCATCAGCGGCAAAAAATTGTTCTACGTGAGGTCTCTAAGGTCAACCCCTGCAGAGTTATGATTTATTTTGCGTTTTATAAGAAAATTGACTTTTTTTTACTAATTCTTATTAAAATTCGATAAAATCTACATCCTGTATCTTTTTCATAATATCCACTAGATTGGTACTGATGAGTTCTTGCTTAACACATACTATTTGTAGTTGTTTATTGAGTGTATTGAAGATAATATTAAGTTACACGATATAATTTTTTTTTCAAATCAAAACTTTATGTTTACTTCGGACCCCACTGTGAAAAAAAATTACTCTACCGAAAAGTGACCCTGTATTACAAGTTTTGGCGCATTTAATATGGATTTTGAAAAGGTATTACACATGGCCATGAGTCGCTCTAATATCTTTCTAGGATGAAAAAACAACAACGATTCGGACTTATGAAAGATTATTTACCTCCATCGGACCAGTACTGTCTGAATCGGACTAGATTCAAAAAATTGGACAGATGGCTGGAGGGTTACGTAGGAATTTGATTAGACGGTGCAGATTAAGTATTATGGTCAGAGTCAGGAATTTTGAGCATATTTTATTATAAAATATTTTGTTTCATACAAACAACCATTGAGAAATAATTGTTTTAATACAATTATTATTTCACAATCGTTGTTTGTAATTCTTCCTAGAAAGATATTAGAGCGACTCATGGCCACTTGTAATATCTTTTCAGAATCCCTATTAAATGCGCCAAAACTTGTAGTACAGGGACACTTTTCGGTGGAGTAATTTTTTTTCACAGTGGGGTCCAAAGTAAAGAAAAATTTATGATTTGAAAAAATGTTATATCGTATCACTTAATATTATCTTGAGTACACTCAATAAACAAGTATAAATAGTATGTCTAACGCAAGAACTCATCAGTACCAATCTAGTGGATATTATGAGAAAGATACAGGATGTAGATATTTTCGAATATTAAGAAGAATTAGTAAAAAAAAGTCAATTTTTATAGAAAACCAAAATAAATCATAACTCTGCAGGGGTTGACCTTAGAGACCTCCCGTAGAACAATTTTTTGCCGCTGATGACCTCATCTATCCCCTATTTGCGTTTGATCCACGACTTTTTGGCCACCCTGTATATAATATATATCTCGTCGCCTCAGATTTATTACCGAAATTTTTAATTATTTTAAAATTGGTGTAAATAATATTAAAAGTTACTTTTTTACATTCTATCTCATTTCTATTTTAGTATATATACTAATCTATCCATATTGTTTTAATAATAGTCGTAAAATGCAAGAAAGTGACGGATTCTCGTAGAACTAAAGCGCGCGTTTACGCGTGCGATACCTGCGCAGTGATTTTCAACACTCAAAACAAGCTGTTACAACATCAGGAGGTACTTATTAAATAAAGTTAACGAATATAAACGCAAATTTCTTACATAAATTTATACCTTTTCAACCAATATTGAGACATGCAAGTCATGTTACAACGAAACGCACTTGCCAGCCTTCTGGCAGTGTGTCCATGGGCAGTGGACATTAACATCACGTGAGCCTCTTGACTATATATGCACCCTGTTCTATAAAATAAAAATCTATTTTTTTAGAAGTTGTCATCTTCGTAGCAAATTGCCTTTCCTTTTGAAGTTATACTTCTTTAGGCGCGTTATGAAAAATTGATGAGAGTGAAATTTTACGATGCGCGCACCTATGACACAAAATTGGGAGTGTGATTATAGCGTGCGCACTGCGCAATCTACAAGTAAAAAGAAATAGAATATGCGTGAAGCTAACTTCACGCATATTCTATTTCTTAGCTTAGCAGCTTAACAAGAATTTTGAATGACCATGACATCTGACAATGACATTTGAAACAAATATAGGAGTATTAATTAGTTTTAAAGATTATATACCTAGTTATTTTTATTATACAAGTGCGAATTTTATATTTGCGTCTGAATTATAATCAGAAGTGATTTAAATTGAATATCTAAATCAATACTAATTCATATGATAAAATATTTGTGAAAAAACTGTGCCGAACTTCCTGAGTGCTTCAATACAATTGAGGTTAACTATCCGTATGTATTATCGAGTATTATTGTTGATTAAAACTGAAACATGAACCATTATTCATTGCTTTTGTTTATTGCGTTTGTTACAGCAACTTTTTAGAAATATTCTACGACCCTATATATCAATAATTGAGAACAAAGATTTAAGCACGAATACTAATAAGGAGAAAATGAAGGCTTGGAGCGATATTACAGAGAAGTAAACATTTTAATAAGTACCTGTATCTCAAAAAAATGATTACATTATTTAATCAAAACATGTAATTTTTCAGATTTAATCTAGCAAATATAAGGACAAGAGACAAAAAACAATTGATGAATCAGTGGAAGTGCACTAAATTGAATAAAAAAAAAGAGTTGTCATCTTATCGCCGTGAAACATCAAAAACTAGAGGTGGAACAAAGCCACCATCACCTTCTCCAGACACAATGGATATGGCAGAGATTATACCGCAACGGTTTGAAGTAGATTTCAATGAATTTGATTGTGATGGTGTCGAGGTAGGAATGTTAATTATAAATATGATGGTGATGTTCAAGGTTCAACCTCTCAAGCATAGGCACATACTTTATTCCCCTACAGGGTAGTTAGAGATATTGTAATACCTCAAAACATCCATGTTGCTCTTGTAGTACCGAAACTCTGTCCAGCCAGATGTGAGCCCATTCCCACTTATAATGGACAGTGGGTATAATACACCTTAATACCTGAGTGCGAACCACTCACCATGATACTTAAATTAATAGATGTTATTTATATATTTCAGGATATTACAAATAAAATCATTTTGGAAACAATTGCTATCCCAAAAGCAAATAAAGCCAACAATGACAAGGTAATAAATCAGTTTTGACATAACTTGAATACTAAAAATGCCAAACAAAGGTGTGCACAACAGTGACAACATAACTTAAGAATTTCATTATTTTGTAGGATTAAAAAAAGGTTAAAGAAAATCATGTCGAACTGAACAACAAGAATCCCCAAACAACTCAAAAGAAACCTACAAGGAAGACACCGGTATTATATTTAAATTATCTCTATCTCTAAATAGAATAAAAGAAAGTTGCTATCCAGGTCTGTAGCATGTGCTACAAATTATATTATTAACACATTTATATAATTATATTAATATAAATGTGTTAAAAATTTTATAATATGAATTATAAAAAATTTTAAGTTTTGCATGGACAGAGCTTAAATTAATATTCTCTTATTTGTTGCAGAAGCAAGTAGTAGTTTTAGTTTTGGAGAAGCCTCGTAGATGCACAACCAAGTAATGATTAATTTAAAATTACAAACCAAAATTCTGATGAAGACATTAGAGTCACTTAAAAATAAATAGTATAATGAAATAAAAATGTTTTAAAGATAAATAGTGCTTTATTTGTTTAAATAACTTAATTGTTAAAACAACCTAAATTAAGAACTATCAAACTAAGTTTTCATCAATAAAAATGGCTCTTACTGCTGCTCCATGCAGTTTATTTTGAGATGAGGGTACTGTTAGTGTGGGCAGGGTCTCTTCATCATCATCAGAGATAGGTTCCTCTTTTAATTCAATGGCTATATTGTGCAATACTGACAATAAACACCTAAATCTGTTTTTCCAAACACCAAAACATCTCTCTACGCTATTGTGAGTTCTGATGTGGCATAATTGTATGATTCTTCTTTATGAGTGGTCGGATTTAATATTGGTGTAAATAAATTAGGAGTGCAAGCATTGCCAGTCTCCAAGTAGTCTGCCATGAAATTGTTCCTTCTCAAAACATTGTTTTAATGGCCTTTCAATAAAAATCTGTGAGTCATGGGTACTGCCACGCCAATGAGCAACGATATTCATTATATTTAATGTTGCATCGCACACAACCTGAACATTTAAGGAACTGGATCCTTTACAATTTATGTAATGTTAACCACTAGGTCCTTGTACTTTACTTCTTCTAATGTGAGTACAGTCAATTGCACCTACCACATTTTTAAAATCAGCTATAGCTTCAAATAGTTCTATATGCTTCAACTGGTCATTTAAAGACTTGGGCATTTTGATATACTCTAATCTTGCCCTTGCTACTCGATGGCATACTGTAGAGAAAGATTGCTGAGTCAGACCATGAATATCTGCAGCATCATCTTGCATCTGAAAGTTAATAAAATAATATAGTTTACCCTAACTATTATATGAAAAGATATAATAAATATTTCATGTTCAGGTGTTAAATACTTCTTATACATACTTGGTTGCGGCCCCAATATCTCAAAGCTATCAATATCTGAAGAACAGAAGATAAACCACCCCCACGTTTGTCTTGTCTTTGAGAATTACCAAATAATTGGTCTAAAATTAAAACACCAGCCTTTGAAACTCTATAATTTCGACGGAACGGTTTCTTTTCTTATTTCTTATGTTTTAACATTTCTTGCACTGGTCATTTGACTTATTAAATTATTTATTTGTTCAACTTCTTCTACTGCTCTGATATCCATTATATTATTTAGAAAAATGAACAATGAAATCGTCAAAACACAATACAATCAACACAGATAATAAAGTATCAACTATGTCTATGAACTATTGGTTTTAGATTATGTGAGAGTTATACTAGGACAGACTAGGTGGACGGCTGGAATAATGCTAGTATGAACAGTTACGCCGACGTCATGCTAGGTTTAAGTTATTCCGGGTTTATTAGTAGACATTTTGCTTATTCTTAGAGATTGTTCAGAAAGGGCGAATTCGCCGGGAATTCATACGCTCGTTGGCGAATTACTGACTACTGAGAGCCAATACATCGCGTCCACAAGCATCGCGCGAATTTAGAATACGCGCGTAAATCGCGTGCACTTCACCAGACTCTCGACTCATACGCAATACGCGCGAGTCGATACTAGGAACGCCTTGTTGCCAACGCGCGTATGAATGCGCGCGAAACGATTCGCGGCGAATTCTTGGTAGAACATTTTATTCCACGTTTAGTGAATTAAATTGAATATTTATTGAATATAGAAAATATTTGTGAAAAAACTGTGCTGATCAACCTTCCTAAGTGCTTCAATACAATTGAGGTTAACTATCCGTATGTATTATTTAGTAATATAAATGACAAAATTATTATTATTTTTTCGCTTACATTTGATGACTATTAATGGTACTATTCAATTTCTATATTTTCAGATTTCAAGATGGGTAATACACATGCGGAAAATAATAAAAACTATTACAATCGAAAAAAAGCTGCCAAGGAAGCTGAAAAAGCTCGTCAAGGCTTGTCGGTGAACAAGCCAATAAGAAAAACAGGAACAGAACGTAATCGTGCCTATAGACTGCGAAAAAAAATGCTTTCACAAGTTGAAGAATCATCCGTGGCTGAGATTTTATCCACACCGTCAACTTCAAGTTCACAAATAAGGACTTTTGCACCATCATTTCGGTTAGCTACCATCAGTGCTAGTACAAATCAACCAGATGTCTCAACGCTGTCCAGTACTGGTATTGCTGATCATAATGGCGATAATTTAAACGATTCATTTTTATCTGCTTCAACACACGACAATCGCAACTTTATAGTTGTACAAGCTGAGGTGCATATGACTAATTCTCCTGTGCCGTTTAATCAACGTACATCAGAAAATACTTTATTAGCAGACTTGGGGCAAAACCGACTGCTTCATGCCCAAGAAACTATTCAGCAATTAGCTGGTGCCTCGAATGTACATATTTTATCTATTCAAGACATTGTACATGATCAGGAGCGTGATAGATTAAATCAAGACACGATTATGGACCAGCAATTACTTCCACAAGACGTAGAAGCCGTTCCTTCCAATTCTCCGGGACAGTTTATTAATACTTCTATTGATGAACAAATTGATATGGACGTAGATACTTCTTTACCGTATAGTAATTTTCCACGACTAAAAAGAGCTCATCAGGAATTTAAAAAAAAGTTTCTAGACAATCCTTTTGGATATCCATGTTCAGTATGTGACAGGTTGTGGTTTCAAGATGACTTGAAAAGTCCGTCTTCTGAACATAAAGAAATTTTAACACAAATTATACCTAATACACCAGCGAAAAATACGAAGCTTTGCAACACATGTATACAAGCGTTAAACAAGAAGAACATTCCTTCAATGTCCACATTCAATGGTTTTAAGTATCCAGATATACCTCAACATCTGCCACCTTTAGATCTTGTTTCCGAAAGACTAATTTCACCCCGTATTCCCTTCATGCAAATCAGAAGACTGAGGCATGTTAATGGTCAGTACGGTATTTTCGGCCAAATAATTAATGTTCCAGTTTCAGTTAATAATATGGTGAAATCTATTCCAAGGAATATTGATGATGACTATTGTATAAATGTACATATCAAACGAAAAAAAATTCATCGGTCGAGCTACTTACAAAGTACTGTTAATAAGCGTACTATTAAAAGTTGGCTCAATTTTTTAATTCCGTCACCATTGTATACCATGTACGATATTAAAGTTGATGAGTCATTTTTTAATGATAATCAAATTCACGATGAAATTCCGCAAGATGATTTCAGCGAACATATTCCTGTAGAAGATAGTCTTACGGCCCAGCAGCAGACATTATTGTGGAATGAAGAACATTACTTACGTATTGCACCTGGTGAAGACAATGTACCTCAAAGCTTATTATTTGATGAACATGCAGAGGAACTTTCCTTTCCCGCAATTTACTTGGGTCAATTCCGTAATTTTAGGGATGGTGTTAAAGTAACCCCTTTTATGATGGCTTCTAGCGAACTAAGACGATCTGATCGTCGTGCAGTTACGCCGTATCATTTATTATACATGGCGATGAAGATTATGAGGATGCGAGTTCGGGATTCTCTCACAGTTGCGTTCAAACACGTTGGTAAAGATACCAAAATTACTCGGAAACAAATAGAAGATAATCAGTACATCCATAATTGTATTGAAACCAATCTTGCTTTTCTAAGAGCAGTTCCGAATTCAACATGGTATTGGATGGGTCGCAAAAAAGATCTTTTTGCTATGATCAGACAGTTTGGTAAGCCGACTATATTTCTTTCCATCAGTGCTAATGAAATTGGATGGAACGATCTGCTCCAAACGCTCTACAAATTCAAACACCACGGTGAAACTATTTCAGAAGAAATGGCCAAGCTTCTCCATTATCTTGAAAAAACAACTCTTATTAATGAGGATGCAGTTACCTGTGCTATATATTTTAATAAATTGGTTAACGTATTAATGAATCTTTTACAATCGTCAAAATTTAGTCCGTTTGGGAAATATTATGTTGTTCATTATTTTAAACGCATTGAGTTTCAGCATCGTGGTAGTCCACATGCGCATATGCTATTGTGGCTAGCTAATGCTCCAATGGATGCACTTGAAAAAAATAGGTTGAATGCTATTGCATTAATTGATAACTTGATATCTGTTTCATCTCGCGAAGCATCGGGTAACATTAAATTACAAAGACATAAACATACATTCACGTGCTTTAAAAAAATAGTGGCAAATCAACCTCAGCATTGCAGATTCGAAGCACCTTTTATGCCTTGCCGATCTACTACAATTTTATTACCTATGCAGAAAGAGGAACCTGGTTTCAAGGATTATGCTAAACGTTACAATGATATCCGTATTAATTTAGATAATCATGATTATCATGATATTGATTCTTTTTATGAGAGTAACAATATTAATTCAGATGAAGATTATCACAATATACTTCGAGCTGGAATTAAGAGGCCACGAGTTTTTGTCAAGCGTCAACCATGTGAAAAATGGCATAATCCATTTAACCCCTTTATATTTAATATTGTTAAATCCAATATGGATATTCAATTCATTACCGAAGAATATTCATGTGCTAATTATGTCTCAGAGTATGTCAATAAAACTAACAGAGGCATTAGTCATCTTCAGCGATTGATTATTGAAACTATGGATGAACATCCAGAGTTTGATGTCGTTGAAATTACTAGGAAAATTGGTGTAAATATGCTCAATAGTGTTGAGATTACAAGTCAGGAGGCGGCTTGGTATCTCTTACGAGAACCGATGTCGAAGTGTTCTACTGTAGTCACTACTATTCTCACTATGTGGCCATGTGATCGGCAACGTATAAAAAAAACACAAAAAGAATTAGACGCGATAGGCATAGGAGAAGATTCCACTAATATTTGGAAAGAAAATTGGTTCGATAAATATGAACGCCGACACGAAGATTTGGAAAATATTACTCTTGCCCAGTTTGTTGCTAATTACACCATTAAAGCAAACGGTACTTACACCGAAAGAAAAGTGCCGCGTGTTATCCGATACCGAAATTTTGATATGGGACAAGATCTTAATGAATATAAACGAGAAATGGTTACTTTACATATTCCTTTCCGGAATGAAGATGCAGAAATACTCGCGGAAATGAAGTTTATCGATACTTATAATAGGAATGAAAATGAAATTTTAAATAAAAGAAAAGAATTTGAATCTAGTTTGGACATGCAGAAAGTAATTGAAATTTCTCGAAATTTATGCCGAGAAGATGGTTTGAATGATGAACCTGAAGTACAAAATGTTGCTAACATCGCATCTGAACCAAATCCATTCCAAAATTTATATAACAATCCTCTTTCTGAAATGAATAGTGATCTTCGTCTAGCAGTACTTAATAAGCTTGGAACTATTGCTAAAAAACGAGAAAATTTGATGCCAAATACAGAATTTTATGAATTGATGAGAATGGCAAATGATAAGCAAAAAGAGCTTTTGTTACATGTCATTTCAAATCTATTAAATCCAAACCGTAGTCCATTTCAAATATTTTTCACGGGTCCAGCTGGATGTGGTAAGACTTTCGTCATAAAGCTTATCATGGAAATTTATAACCGATATAATGAGAATGATGGATGCTGTAACTCGTACATCCCCTGTGCTTCAACAGGCAAAGCTGCTGTTGCCATTGACGGAACTACCGTACATACTGCCCTAAAAATATCTTTGTCGAGATTACTTCCACTAAGCACTGAAGTAGCACATCAATATAGAGCACTATTTAAATACGTCAAAGTGTTAATCATTGATGAAATAAGTATGATTGGTGCTGAATTACTTTCTCAGATTGACTCTAGGTTGAAGCAGATTACTGGAGATTTTAAAACTAACTTTGGTGGTTTAGACGTTATTTTGATTGGAGATCTACGCCAGTTACCACCAGTTCGAGCTACCCCAATTTACAAACAGCAGAAGCAGAAAATTGTTGGACCTATTTTATGGCGTGGATTCAGATTTTTTGAATTAGATCAAGTTATGCGGCAGGCAAACCAAGAGTTTTCTTCAATATTGACAAAAATTGGGAATGGTCAACAGCTCAATGATCAGGAATTAATTTTATTGGAATCGCGATTTGTAACAATGCAGGAGGCCGAAGAAAAATGTCCACATGGAATCAGACTATTTAATACAAACAAGGATGTTACAAAATATAATAACCGAATTTTAAGTACTGCTCCAAATAAAACTACTTCAATTGCTAAAGACGTATTTGTTGGCTGTACTTCAGCAGAACAAACAGCTTTTGTCCGTCAAAAATTATATAAAATGTCGCTCATTGATACTGGAGGGTTGCCTTATGAAACCGTATTTGTGCCGAATGTTTTCTACATGATTACAACAAACATCGATGTATCAGATGGCCTAGCAAATGGAGCTGTTGGAAAATTAGTTCATCTTGAATTTAATGATGAAGGAGATGTGAATGTTATATGGCTTGATTTCCCAGACTCACCAAAAATTGGTCAAAAAATAAAGAAAAAAGTCGCTGGACATGTAGCTTCTCATCAAATTATTCCAACTGCTGTACCGATAGGAAGAAGATCTGCAACTATTCCACTTAATAACAACAAAACGATAAATGTCAAACGATCGCATCTACCTTTAGTTTGCGCTTGCGCAACTACGATTCACAAATCTCAGGGTAGTACGTACCCTGAAATTGTTTATGAATATGATAAAAATCATCAACTACCATTAGTGTATGTTGCATTGACACGGGTGACTAGCCTCCAAGGTTTATACATTACAACAAAAAGAATGATAAAACTTTCTATCATGGCCGGAGAGCATCCATTGCTATAAATAGTCTTCAAGAAGAATTCCGTAGACTCTCGCTTAATCGCTTACAAACTATCAGCAATGATCTGTTAGAATTTATTAATCAAAAGAGCGGGTTAATAATATATACTTTTAACTGTCAAAGTCTCCGGGCTCATTCCACTGATCTCCTTGATCAAATTATGCAACAATCAAGTGTTTTACTTTTAAATGAGACCTGGTTAGCCAATGAAGAGTCGATTAGTATACCAAATTTCAAATGCATAGTACAATATAAGCGATCGAACGTTCGAGCTGGAGGAGTTGCCATTTATCAGAATATGCACGACACTAGCAATACTATTACTCGAAATATTGATATGACTGTAAGACAGACGGAATTGATAAATTCAACAGTGACATCAGTTGGTGATTTTTGTGTAGCGGAATGCAAAATGAAAGATGGCAATAAAATTGTTTTAATGATTATTTACATTACTCCCAATGAAAAAATGGACGACATCATACATTTCCTAAAACAAATATTATGGCCATATTCAAAAGCTGGAGGAGAATATCTTAGTAGAGAAGAGGATAAATTACCGATAATTTTAAGTGGAGACTTCAATATCAATTTTTCCCGTGAAGATGCTCGTCCACTTATTGATTTCCTCCAAAATGACTTTAATCTAGCCATGAATAATAATCCTCTGATTTCCACAACACGACACGGCACTACCATAGATGCTGTATTTTCACGATATCTAAACTCCGTTAATACAAAAAATTTCATATCGCACTTTAGTTATCATAGGCCACTGATAACTAAAGTTCCAATTCAAACATTACCGGAAGATGCTAAGGCATTGGACATAATTTAAAAACAACATTCGAATAATAATAAAATTTATGTTACACTTAATGTAATGTGTTGTCGAAACTATTTTCATCCTGCAGAACCTCTCCTGCAGGATGAAAATAGTTCTATTCGTGCAATCTATAATTTAAAATGTAGGGAATCTCTTAGAGATAAATTCAAGGAAATTAATATACTTACCTTTCCCTCGCAATATATTTATGAAAATATTATGTATGTATACAAAAATAGTGATAAGTTTACTAGAATAGAACAAACACAGGCTGCAATTTCCCCGTACTATCGAAAGTTAGTAATTCTTTTTTTGGGAAAAGGGATACTCTTCTTTAATAAAATCCCAGAGGCTCTTTTATCTCTGCCTTTCAATAAATTTAACAAATGTATTAAAGAAAAGCTGTGTAAAAAGGCTTACTATAAAGTCAACGATTATCTAGTTAATAAAAGGGCCTGGGACTAGTGCTAGACAGGCTACTTCTAATTAATTTGCGATATTTGTTTTAAAATAAGTGTTGTTTGATGATTTGCTATTTTAAAAGAGTACCGAGAGTTTTTTACACCGGCTTTTTCTCTCGGCCTTCACCCTCTGTCTTCTTTGCCGATGAGTAGGGATGCCTACAAATTCAAATTTAATGACGTGGAATAAGTGATAAACATATTTTTTTTTTATTTTGTAAGAGAATAATTATAAATATTTATTTATTAAATTTTTCAAATGTAAACTGAACTTTATTGACTATAATGACTCCTTTTCCAGGCTTTGATTATTTAATTGTAATTAATTATTTGCATGCAATCAAAATCTATTTCTAATAATGCCAAAGAAGTATAACTTCTTACGCGCGTACATAAGTACACGCACCCTTTTTTTTTTTTTTTTTGAAGTTATACTTCTTTAGGCGCGTTATGAAAAATTTATGAGAGTGAAATTTTACGATGCGCGCGCACCTATGACACAAAATTGGGAGTGTGATTATAGCGTGCGCGAGCGAGATAGGAATAAGACAATCTACAAGTAAAAAGAAATAGAATATGCGTGAAGTTCGTATGCCAAGAATTTTGAATGACCATAATGACATTTGTCATTTACCTTTTAAACAAATAAAGGAGTTTTGATTATTTTTTCAAAGAAATTTATTAATTTTATATTGTGCAATACTGCCAAAGCTACAACATACTTCTTAGTGTTTGGTAGAGATGTTCTAAATATATAATTATATATACTTTTAACTACATAGAATTTATGTTACACTTAATGTAAGAGAATAATAATAAATAATAATTATTTATTTAATTTTTCAAATGTAAACTGAACTTAATTGACTATAATGACTCCTTTTCCAGTCTTTGATTATTTAATTGTAATTAATTATTTGCATGCAATCAAAAACTATTTTTAATAATGCCAAAGAAGTATAACTTCTTACGCGCCTACATAAGTACACGCACCCTTTTTTCTTTAATAGTGGTAAAGGTAAATTCTACAATATATTATATGTGTGATGTGCAAATAAATAAATAATATTTGATTATTTTTAATGAAAGCATAATATATGTAATAATAATACAGTCCAAACAAAAATGGACATATAACTATGTTTGTTTATTTTCAGTTACACAATGTGGCCGATAACCTAAAGACTAACACAGTAAGAACAGATGCGATGTATACTACATCAACTTTGGGATCAAACAGAAATTTTGAATGTAATCAATGTGAGGTATGTAGATATAAAGAGCTGCAAGAATTAAAAAAAAAAACTTATTTTATTAAAGTCTGTTAACAACAGTGATGTTATATAAAAGTTATTTGGAAAAATAAGCACCTTAAATACCTGTCAATTAAAATTATCATATAATTTATTATACATAGTCCAGAAATGCATATTATCCTAAAAGTACTTTTACTGAATCGATTTTGATGAAACTTGAACCCTATATAACATGTAGATTTAAATCAAATAGTTGGCAAATATACATAAATAAAATCACATACATATTATGTTATATATAAAATTACAATAAAAGGTGCTTAAAAGGCTAAATATATACAAAAACAAAAATTGAGAAATAGAGAATCTATATTTATAATTTTTTTTTTCAGTTCGAAACATCAAAACAAAGTATAATTCATAGACATATAAAATCTCATTTTAGTATTCTCATAAAGGCAAGCGAAAAGCCAAATGATGTATTGGAAAAGAAATTTAATTGTAAATTGTGTTCAGGCAGTTTTACAGATGCAACATCCCTTTCAAAACATATTGTGTCTTCACATATTAAAGTGATTGAAACATAATTTTAGTTTTATTACTCTTCCACATTGCTACACTAATAATTAGTTTTACTAGTTAATAAGTTTACTGTGCACATAAACTTATTAAGGGAGCGTTCAAGTATTTCGTCACGTAATTTTTGGAGATTATTGACCTCCCCCCCTTGTAACGTTTTTTCTGTACCCAATAGTAAAACGTTTCGTGACCACCCAGTGACTCATTATAGCTAAAAATTACCATTATGTGCTGTAAAGTCGAAAATAATATTAACAATAACGCGTAATTCTATCCCCACCCCGCATCGTAACGTTTTCCAAAGGAGGCTCCTCCTTATACCCCTACCAAAATTCGTTACGTAATACTTGAACGCACCCTCACTAGTAAAACTAGTTTCACCTAGTAAAACACAACCTCTGGTTATCCAAAAATTTTTATTTGATTATAACATACTGCCTACTATACTCTGGAATTGTTTGATACAAAAGTGTCTTTGTACCAAATATTCATCAGTGATAGGCATGTGGGATTACAGGGAACACTTAAGACAGGGTCAGTAAGACTCATTTAGATCAAAAAAAATATACAGTCCCAACCATACTCTTCATTCTATATATTATGTTATTGGTCACTCAAGTAGATTTAAATTGTTTATTGGCCATCAAACCGAGTTTAGTCCAATAAAGATGTATTTTTTTCAAATATGATATTCAATAAAAGTAAAAGACTAAAACAATATACATTTTTTATTAGTATTATAGGTCAGGTCAATCTTTAAAATATCTAAATACTTTTCTCTTATAATCTTGGTGAATTTCCATCAAAAAAAGTCTGAAAACTCTCCTCCCAAGTCTCCAAGTATGTCAGCTTCATTTATTTCATTACTCGGTGAAAAATCAAATTCTGAAACACGTTTTTGTCAAAAAAATTGGGAATTTTAAAGGCCAAGCAAAAGTGTTCTCTGAAGTAATGATTAACATAAAATAGCTTTAAAATAGTTTGGCCTCGGCACTTGTTACTGATGTCACTTTGAAATATTAAAAGAATTTGTGATTTATCTATTTCATTTCATATTGAAATTATATTTTTTTTTAACACCTTAAATAATCTATACTTATATTATAAAGGCTAAGTTTAATAAAAGTAGTTTCTGGTACTACTGAACTGAAAGTTAACAGAATAGAAATTTAATTCTACCTAGGCAATTGACAATAATCTCACCTGTATTTTGCTTTTCATGTTTAATCAGTGTTAATTCTTCATTTACTATCTTTACAAATCCATCAGGTAATTCTTCAGTCTCATCCACAATAGTATTACTGTATATATGAGAAATATTTTTTATTGTAACATTGAGATAATGCTTCTTGAATGTGCTACCAGTTGTAAGAACTGTAGGTTTATGTAACACTAAAGCACAATACTCGGAGATAAAGTAGGGTGAGAAGTGCAACCAGGCATCTCTATGTAGTGTAAATTTTATGTGCCCTGTAAAAATGTCAAACTTAGAGAATTTATAAAGCAAAATGTTTTATTTAAGGCAAAGATATAACCAAAATTTTGCTCAGAATAGGCTAGTCATCTTGTCCTTTGATTTAGGTATCATTTAATACTTACAATAAGACAATATAGGACAATTGTTCTATTGCTTATATAATTGATATAAAAAATACCTGTTGTATCTCTCAATGTTATTAGAGGGTCAATAGCAGATCTATCAATTGATTCAATAAATCCCCTCACAATTTCTGCTTTTCTTCTCCTCAGATTCCCAGTCAATGCTTGTTGTTTAATCACTTTTATTGTATTGCAACTAAAATCACTGGTATCTTCTAAAAGTCTCTTCCATAATGGTGTTTCAAATATTCCCCTGTTGAGATAATTTTGAGATGCATCTATATCCTGCAAAATTTAAATTTTATATTAAAATTTAATAAAACTCTTGAGTGTTCTAGGTGCATTTATGGTTAAAGTCAATGTTATAGCGCCTTCATATAATCCTCACCTGAGATAAAAGTTCAATTTGGCAAATCGCATCATCTTTTGTTTCCTCCAAGGTTCCTGTAAGTAATCCAGCAGGTCCTGGAAATTTTCTTTTGTTCTTGTGATCAAAGTGGGAGTCAATAAGTTTTCTTTTACTATGTTTTGGTGATACATTATTATACAACAAGCAAGGATTTACATGAACATCTTTTATAAAATCTTTTTTTAATGCAGGTGCTATATTTTCATTAATCCCCACTTTTTGAGTATCTTCAGGCGATAAGATTCGTTTTTGTGTATCGTCGACCTCTTTAAAGTCTAGCTGCGATAGTACCTACAAATAAATAAAAATGTAGTAAAAACAAAGTCCTTTAAAGTTGTGTTTACATATTAGTTATGTCTTTTTCCCCCCCACAAACCCCCCCCCCCCCCAACCCCCCAAAAAAAAAAAAAAATATATTTTTTTTTTTAAATAATAAAAAAAAAAAAAAAAATTTTTTTTTTTTTTTAAAAAAATTATACTAAGCATTTTAAAGATATAATATACAAGTTCTACTCTTTCATTCACCCACAGATCAAATACATAGCTAAATGGCAGTGTTCACAACCTGAATTATCTACAGGCTTAGTCAAGATGCCTTAACAGTAGTGTATGTAGAACGTCAAAAACTAAATTTTATGAAAACTTTTCGACAAATGTATTTCCATACAAATTAAGTTTTCGACTTTACTACATACACTACTGTTAAGCCATCCTGACTAAGGCCTAGGGCGTAAAATTTGTATATGTGATCATATAGATAAATTATCGTACAGTAGGAAAATGCTAAAAATACTTTAAAAATCATATGAAACGTGAAAATAAAATGTTGCAAACGATTTATAGTTTAAATCTTGTAAACTTGTGTTTTTCAATTTGAAAAAAATAATAATAATTAAATTTAAATGTTCGAATGGCACAGACTCGAGCTGGGCCCTAATCCATTCAGTGATTAAGGCGCCAACATTGCAAATTTATAAAGAACAAAATAATGTTGATAGAGACCTGAAATTATAATTTTCAAATTAACTGAATATATTTGCGATAACAAATCAAAGTGAACGTATTTTTATCTTCTAAAATACCAAATTTGAAAATTATACTTTTGTCCGTAAAATCGTATATATTTTTAGCATTTAAAATTCGTTATGATATTAAAATATATCAAGACTTCTCACCTACTCGAATTTTTCTGCATTCTGAAGCGTTTTTGTGTTTACATAACTTTGTTCATCCGCTGTAGTGACTTATGACCTTTCCTAAAATAACCATAAGCACTGACACTAAATAGTAATTGGTAAAGACTTTTGCCCCCAAGATCGAACTCATTCACAACTTTCTAATTTCACAGGGCACTTAATTCAAATTTACTAATGATTTTATAGACAATATACTAATGTGTTGGTAACCCATAGAGTTTGTCGTTTGTTGCGATGCGCCAGATGCTTGTAAATGTATGAAAAATACCTTGTCATTTTGAGTTGATTTTGTTGTTTTTTTATCATAAATTCATATTATTGAAATATTTATAAATTGTAAATGGCTTTCGATGCATTTGATCCTTTACAAAATGTAACAGTTAATTTCACAGAAGATCAATTATTAGAAATAAAAGAATGGTTTGACGTAACTGCAAAACCAAGACTAACAATAAACGAAGGAAACCCAATAAATGTTGTAACAATAGAAGAATTTAGAGACTTTTTAGGAAAAAAAAAGTAGGTGTAAACATTTTACACATTAAGAGTAAAATTCCTATATCTGTAGGTACTGTGTAAATGAGTAGTCTTAAAATTTATAAAAGTATCTAATTACTTTATAAGGCTAACAGTAACATTAAGGATAAATAAATAAATAAATCTAAGCAAAAACTAAAATGGTACGATAACACCACGAAACCCAACGGATTACATTTTATTTAATATTCTATGATTCTTCCAAACTGTCGATCAGATTTGATCATACCCATTATAAAAGAGCCTGGTGCCCATGCGCCCATATAAGCCCTGGGCTTGTTTTAATATATACGATGATATAAGTAACGTCAAGATGCATGAAGGAACAAAATATTATATACCTAGTATGTTTCTCCTAGATATCATCGAAGAAGTTTTCACTACCCTTCCTATGGAGAAATAATGGAGGAGGCCGAAAAATTAAAAGCCGGAATAACGAGAATGTTGATGTATGATCAAGTAGTGTATATGTTAAATCAATGGACTATGTTGCCTGACTTAAAGCATGAAGTACAACTGGCTTTCAAGGTTTTTTTCTTGTTAAGTTTTAGTACATAATTTACTTAAATTGTGAACAAAATGCCTATTCCCATCTCATCCATCTGCTTCCATAAAAAAATGTAACAGAAAGATCGCTATTCATTTATACCATTGAAAGGGGGTTGTGTTGAAAAAGGCTAAAATGATACCGCGTTTTATAGTAGCATTTCTACTCAATCTAAAACAAATACAGTAGTTTAAACAACAAAACGCGCACTCGTAGGACGAATAGTTTCGTGGTATAGGGCTATCTATAAAAACACAAATGCTTCAAACGTTTACGTTACTTTAATTCGAATAATCCGTTTAGGTATTTGATACAGAAAATAGAGATTTTTTGGATATTGAAGAATTAAAGATGATTGTTACTGGATATGGTGATGTGTTTAATGAATCTGAAACTATAGAGATGCTGCGAGACGCAAATGTATCTGGAAATGGGAATGTTTTTTATAACAATTTTGTTGATAGTCTTTTCAGTTTAGCACCAGAGCTTAAAGAAATTAAGGTAAACTTTGATTATTAGACTAGTTACGTCATATAGTTTAGAATATTATTATATATAATAACATAGCAAGAGATATATAATAACATTGAAAGAGAAATACGTGGTAAACATTTTTAAGTATAATTTTGAAACTTTTAGGCAGAATATTTATATGAAGACCCCGAAGAAGATCCAAGTGTTCCCCCTGAGCCTGTCATTGAAACTATAGTAGCAACCCCAACGCAAAACATAACTGAGGTGGCACAATCTCCTCCTGGCGAAGCAGCCCAACCCGCTCCACAGAATCCTTCAACCGATAAAAAGAAAGAAAAAAAGAAATGATAAATGTCCTAAATTAAATAATGTGGAAAACAATTTCAAATATTTTTTTCTTCAATATACCGGTATATGCAAATCATTTTATAATTTCATAAATATGAATTTAGTTACAATACTCTTTTTAGGTCTTTCCCCGTATAACTAATGCTGTGCGAGGAGGCGATATATCTAAGCGAGGTTAAAGGTAGGGCCTAGTCTACTAAAAAAATGACAATTTAATAGGCCACATTTTCTGTCACTTTTAACTCCATATTGAGGTCACCTACTTTAAAAATCGATTATTTGAAGGATACGATACGGATTTTAAATTTCTTTAGGCGTTGTGGGGCCCATTAGTTTTATCAAGTGCGTTGATGTAGTAAGCGATTCATAAAGTATCGTAGAAGTAATAAATTTAGGTACCTACACAGACATATTATATAAAGTTTTCCTTACTATTACAAAGCCTTTACATAAAATAAACATTATTTTTTTTATATGAGAGAAAACAACCCTATTTAACACAACTCGTTAGAACTTAAATATAGTGCGTTTTCCAGTTACAGAGCATTATGCGACTCAGTGCCGCACAATGCCGCATAATGCTGAAGCTTAATTGGAACGTGAATAAAGGCGGAAACATACTACCAAAACGCGACGCTACACCACGCCATCCGATGCATGTCAGTACTTATCAATCCCATATATTTAATATGGTCAGATGCACATAGACAACACGCCATGTGATCACACGCGGTAACATCCAATCGAATTGGATCGGCGTGTTGTGGATGTTGTGATGATGACGTCATGCGTCAGTCTTTCGAGTTTTTGACACGAATGTCAATTTATATACTTAGATATTTTTGGATTTATTTGGCGAAATGAACGACGAACAATTAATTGAGTTGGTGAAACAATATTCTGTTGATATGACATGAGATTACCTCAATACAAGGACAAAAACAGGGAGTTGGGATGTTGTTAGTTTAATACAAATAAAAATAGGTAAAAAAACTTTTTAAGTTAAACGGTTTTATGTTAAACATACATTGCAATGTTTAAGATAAATGTACTAAAAACAAAAAAATAATAAAATAGATACAGTCGTGGGAATTATAAACATATGCATAGACTAGACTAAAATGGGGGCACGTCAATTGTCTACAAATTATCGACTTAATGTGCGATAGAAGAATCGTTTAATTCGTCGTTAAAATAGGCAGTTGGCCCGCAGACGGTCAGGAAATTACTTACTATTTTCTTGCTCATGGAAATTCCAATAGTTATACACTCCATGTAAATAAAAGAGATGTTTCAACTAGTTTATCGTTGGACATTCACACTGCTGGCTGGCGAGGAATCGTTTCAACAGACAATTGACATGCCCCACGGTTTTATTTTAGTCTAGTCTATGCATATGTTTATAATTCCTACGACTGTATCTATTTTATTATTTTTTTTTTTTTTAGTACATTTATCTTAAACATTTTGACAATTATGTTTAACATAAAAACCGTTTGACTTAAAAAGTTTTTTTATTATCATTTTATAACCAGTTTTTAGTTTTTATTTCGCATTCTGTTTAATTCATTTAGTGCTTCATTATTGCAAGGTTCCTTGCCCGTTAGTTTATATAAATAAATCAATTCTATAATACAAATATAACATATATTTAATTAATAAAATAGATACAGTTTTTAATATAATGTTATATATTATATAATATTTATTTATTTATTTATTTAGTTTATTGTATTGTCACCAAAATCCAAAGTGTATACAAAATTTCAGATTAATCGGTTGACAGGAAGAGGGTGAAATTTGAATTACTAAATTTGACCCAAGAATAAAACAAACGGGGTGAGCTAAATAAAACCATTTAATAACCTGCTAATCAATTCAGTTTATTAGAAAAATACAGGGTGGGCCAGAAAGATTTGCGAATTTGAAAAAAATATAATAAAAAAACTAAATACAATACACATACAATTTTTTATTTCAATTAAAACAGACATCTGGGAAATTTATTTCTTAAAAATAACATCATCCAGGTGTGCACCATTGCGCTGCAAACATTCCTCGAATCTGAACCTCAAATTGGTAAAAACTTGCTGGCACATTGCGCGGGGAATAAATCAGCTAAATGACTTCTGAATTTGCAAGCGTGTCGTGGTGTCGCATGTTGGTAATGTGCACGATGGACATCGGGTGTCGACACGACACGTCGCGTCGCGTTTTAGTAGTATGTTTCCGCCTTTAGTTTTCAAATGCATCAGCAGAGTGCGTTAAGTCAGTGTTGTAAAAAAAATGTTATGAATTGAGTTAGCAATCTCATTAATGTATAAATAATGTGGTAAACAATAATAATTGGTTGAAAACTTTTTACGCTTATTTTAATCATCAAATTATTTCATTAACATTTTTTTTATTGAATTAATAGAAAACCTTTAAAGAATATAAGGTTTTAACAAGCTAAATTAACAGTAAAATATTTAGTTTCATGTAAGAAGTTTACATCATTTATGTTTTGAGTAATTTTTTTTAATGATTTCTAAAAAAATTATATACTTTTTCAAAACCATTGCAATTTTTTCTAAAGTATAATCCTGTAAAATAAATTTGTTTACAGATACGAATTTTAAAATAAAATTGTATTCATATTTTAAATGTGAAATATAAAAAAAGTTACTATTTATACCTTCATCCATACTAATTTTTTTTGTTTTTAGCAGTTTGAAATAAACTTTAATTATTTTCAAAATCTACGACGAAACGAAAGCCTTACAAATTTTTCAACAATAAATAATATTTACTAACGAAAATGTCGATAAATGCCAACTTAAAGAAAAATACTGGTCAATTTTCTGTCACTGTGTTGGTATTGTTTGCGAGAAGCACGCGAGAGCATTCGTTTTGAGAGTGCTCAATTGTGCGAAGCGTTGCTGTAGTTGGAACACTCAACGTTGATCATTATGCCGCATAATGCGCTCTAGTGCTGTAATTGAAACGCACAAACACACATAATATTTAGTATTTACTTTGACTGTGGAAACGATGGAACTATACTCTGTTTTCGATTATTTTAAATTGACAACTAACTGTAACATCATACTAATATTGTAATTGTTGGAGAATGTAGAATGACATGTCCAATTGTACAATTTTATATTACAAAAATAATGGTGTCGGTCTGTTGGAGATAAAAAGAATACTATAAGTTTTAGAAATATTATTAATACCTTCATATTAACTATAGTTCGTATATAGCAAACATAACAAAATTACCATTGTATTACTAGATATTACACTTCTAATTCTAAGCTTTCGCGATACGTATGTAGGGTTTGTGTTTTTATTCGATATTCGTTGTTTATTTTTGCACAAAAATGAATCTAGAAGATAATGCTATGGGTTTAACCACTGAACAAACTGACAAAATACTGCAGTTTCAAGATTTAACAGGTATTGAGGATATGTCAATATGCAGAGATGTATTGCAAAGACATCAGTGGGACTTGGAGGTAAGATTTGCTTTATTCCACATATTGAGGTCAAAGTGCCTATGAAAAATTTCCAACAACTGTAAAGTACTATGTTTGTTATTATACAGCAAAGTCTATAAATTACCCAATTATCTCACTCTTATCTTGTAAAAATACAGTCCCTTTAAAATTCTTGTTCCAGGTAGCCATACAAGAGCAGCTTAATATAAGAGAAGGCAGACCTTCTGTGTTTGCAACTGAGGCACGGGCACCACCAGTAGTCCATGATCACATAGCACAACAAGTGTTTACCGATGACTCACCAGAAGGTCCTGGTGGAGTTACAGGCCTCTTCCGCTATGTAGTCAATCTAGTTGTATCTGTGTGTTATAGTACAATATCCTCTGTATTGAACTTATTGTTAAGTTTCATAAGGAATGATGATAGAAGATGTAAGTACCTAATTGCATGATTTAATTTCAAACAAATGTAAATTGTGTAAGCATAAATTAACATTGTTAATTGAAAACTTTATATCCCATGATGAATATCTTACATAAACACTTTTATTGTTATATAGTGCTTACAATATTATAATTGTTTTACTGGTTAGATATTCATCAAAATAATGTTTTAAACTTAGTTATTTGTTAAACAACAGTTGCCCTGGTAACTTGTACTTTAAAATTTGCCCCTATTTGTGCAAATGTATTATTTGTGTTTTGTAACTTTTTAATTCTACCATTCTAAAAATGTTTGTTATATGTTAAGTACCAAACAAGCCATAGCCATAGTCAATAAAAAGCTAGAGTTTAAGGGAATATAAATGAGACACCTTACCACAAAAAAGACACAGGTACCCTTTGTGTATTAGGTCACTCTCTCTACTTATGATTATGAGTTTTTGATGGTACCAGTAGCTTTACATTTGTAATCTTGTGATGACCTATATATACAATCCTATATTGCAGTGGTAACGGATCCACTTGGTGATGTCATGGGCTTTATCAACAGTTACACCAACAGATACAACTCCCATCCTGTCTTCTACCAAGGCACATATGCTCAGGCTCTTAATGATGCCAAAAATGAACTTAGGTTCCTTATTGTATACCTACATTCAGAGTCAGCAGCAGAGACACAAAACTTTTGCAGGTAAAATATTATTATTGAATTATTTTGATTTAACTTTCAACAACAAATTATTTTATCTGCAGTATCACTTAATTTGATTTAAAAACAAAAAAAAATCTCTTTCAAAATATTCTTGAGACAATTTAAATATGTCAGACATTAATTTTATATTGTCTGGGATTCTAATTAGAATCTGGACCTCTAGTTATTTTCAGATTGTAATGTTATAAATTTATTGTTACATACAATTTATTGTAAAATTTATGAAATTTAAACACATAAATCAGTATTTTATAATGACATTTAAGGTATAAACCTATTCTATTATTTATTGTGGATTAATATCAGCATATTGTAAACTTAATTTATCTTATGTGTTTGTAGCTATTATTATTATATTATTACTTTAATATTTCAGGAATACACTCTCAGATCATGACGTGATCAGCTTTATAAACACACATGCCCTGTTTTGGGGTTGTTCTGTAGACACATCAGAGGGATGGAGAGTTGCTCAATCTGTGGGTGGGCGACGCTACCCATTGTTATGTCTAGTCTGTGTTCGCGATCACAGGATGACGGTTGTCGCTAGAAGTGAAGGCTCCTGCTCACCACAGCAACTTATTAATAGATTACAGAGAATTGTATCTGAGAATGAACCTTATTTAAATGCGGCAAGGGCTGATAGGTGAGTAACTACTGTTTTTGCTTCTTTATCCAATGTATAGCATTCATTGGTGCAAAAATATCTTACAAGTAGATACCTATTTCCTATTAGTATTAACTTATTCGCAAAGTGTTATCATTTATTCATAAAAATTATATACTCTTATTTTTATGGCATAGTGTTGTCAATACATATAACAAAAAAGGTATCTTAGCACTGCTGCGAGCTTGAATCCCTTGATGGTCCTTTCTGCACAGATCCTTGTCATATGTATGGTTAAAGGCCCAGCTTCCTTCATAATTTATACCAAAACTGTTCATGCACCTTGCATTACTCCACTTCCACATATTCAGATCCTTACTCCTTAGCAACTATGTCAAAATATCGCCTTAACACCAATTTTTATATCGAGAATCTAATAAATATTGTACTCTCTGTTATAGAGAGATTTAATTAGGAGAAATATTTCTGAAATTTCTTTGTGTTAAATTTAAGTTATTATAATTTTTCAATCAGATGTTTCTTTTATTTCCTGTCATGTTAACGCCATTTAATAATAATAATTATTATATTAGATTTAGTCAATGCCAGCTTAAAACAATCTGATAGTCTAGCTACCATAACAAATATCAATTAAAAAAATCAGTGGCGCTACAACTTCTTTAGGTCTGTGCCTCAGATTTCTGAATCTGTTTCATGATCATTTTTAAATCTAATAGGCAAGTAGATGATCAGGCTTCAGTGCCTGACACACGCCATCGACTTTTTGGGTCTAAGACATGTCGGTTTCCTCACGATGTTATCCTTCACCGTTCGAGCGAATGTTAAATGCGCACATAGAAAGAAAATCCATTGGTGCACAGCCAGGGATCGAACCTACGACCTCAGGGATAAGAGTCGCACGCTGAGGGCACTAGGCCAACACTGCTCTTATTAAACAAATATTAACTGGCTACAATATAAGCTATGAATCCTTTGTCAGAGTGGAACGCGAAGTGACAGCACGTTTGCGTGCTTCCCAAGACGAAGCATATGCGGAGTCTTTGGCCGCTGATCAGGAGAAAGAGAGACGTCGGGCCGCCGAGAGGGAAGCCAAGGCCCAGAGGGAGCAGGACGACTTGAACAAGCGCCAGCAGGAGGAGAGGAGGAAGCAGGAGGTAGGATTTCTACTATGACCATGATTATGACAGATTCACTCGATTTTTATTTTGACAGGTTGATTTGGGGGTTCTTGATTTTTATTGGTTTGTTTTGTTTTTGTTGTCTTACCAAATATCGAAAATTTTGAACCACTAATGAACCACTAATGGTTTTCAAGAATCTTAGGGTGAGATCTATAGTGCGCACTTAGACTTTGCTCTGAAGGCTATCGAGTTAAGCAAGGAGGTCCCCAGGATTTTACTATTACCAAAACTTTGATTTAGCCTAACAATGACAAATTCTTTTTACATTACTTTTACTGATTTTTATATTGGTTTGTTTTGGTGTTGCCATTTTGTATCGGTTTTCCTTTGTCTTTTGGATAAAATTTTTTTTTATTAAAAATTTTTTTTTTTTTTTTTTTTTTTTTTTTTTTTTTTTTTTATTTTTTTTTTTTTATTATTATGTATTTTGTCTTACCAATTTATGTAATTGTTCAAACCCCATTTTTAGATCTTAAAAATCAGATTAGTGTGATTTTGTTTGTCACCCGGCACCCCCGGGAAATTTTGAAAACAAAACAAATTCAAAATCTAACCCACCCGTTTCCCTCCTCTCCATTTTTTTTTTTTTTTGTTTTAACAAGAATCTTAGACTTCGATTAAATATAAAAAATTTGAGATAGGGGTGGAAAAAAAAAAAAAAAAAAAAACCTTTTTTTAAAAAATTTCCCCCCCAAAAAAAAAAATTTTTTTTTTTATTTTTTTTTCCTCTCTTAAAAAAAAAAAAAAAAATATTTTTTTTTTAAAAAATTTTTTTTTTTTTTTTTTTTTTTTTTTTTTTTTTTTTTTTTTGCTATCCTAGGTCTCTCATTATTAGATCCTTAAGATCTCCGTGTTATCTGGGTCCTCCCACTACAGCAGGTATTTTTTGTTGTCAAATGCGATATGTAACAGTCATAATATTAAGTTACTAGTAAATATGCAAATTTTAGCCATTTAAGCACAAAATGTTTGGAGGTACTTTTAAGTTGCTGATATTGAATGTACATGCAGCTTTGTTGTATTTTAGATCCCCTTTTAAACCGACTTCAAAAACTCCAAGTTAACGTATTGCAATACGTTATGTTTAGGATTTCATCGATTATTTATTTTCATTTATTTTTATTTAATTCTTAAAAATTGTTAGGCTTCTCAAATACGATTATATCAATAATAATTAAATAATCCAGTGACGCTACAACCCTTTATGGGTCTGGTCTGAGCCGCAGATTGTATCCGTTTCTTTGATAATTTTTATATCATAGACAAGTCCTTAAATGTTATTCAAAAAGCTTCTTTTTGATCATTTTTTTTCTGCCTCGTAATAATAATAGCTCTGCTTATATATACTTAATTATTATGACTGTTAACCTTTGATTGTATTTTAAATTTTTGTTTTAATACTTTTTTTTATTTTTATTATTATTTATTTTTATTTAATTCTTATTTATTGTTAATTTTTTCTTATTATTTTTAAATAATCCATTTTCTTATTTTTTTTAATTTTTTTCTGACAATTTTTATTTTTATCTTTTTTTTTCTTATTTTTGCTTATATTTTTATTATTTTGATGTTAACCTTTTGATTGTATTTTAAATTTTTGTTTATACATATTTTTATTTATTATTATTGTTATTTTTTCTTAAGACTTTCCTTTGTTTTATTTTAGTTATACTAACGTGTTATTTTGAGTTTGTTTTTGTTTATAATTTTTGCATTTCTTGTACCCTCTGTAGGTGTTTCTTTTTCATTGTTCCACATTAGAGTTGCCTGGAAGAAATCGCTTCTAGCGATAAGGCCGCCCGTTGCCTTATAACTTTTGTAACCTGTTTTTTATTTTTGTTATGTGTATGTTTGTGAATAAGGTAATAAATAAATAAGTACGTAATCAGCCTTCTGTCTGACACATGTTGTCGATTTGTGGATTTGAGACATGCCGGTTTTCTTTACCGTATGAGCGAGCGTTAAACGACCTAAAGATAGAATGTCCATTGGTGCACAGCCAGGAATCGACAGTCAGGATATGAGAGTCTCGCGCTGAAGCCACTATTGACCAGGCCGTCATTGCGTTATGTATTTTATTCGATCATATGGGTAAACTGTATATTTTAATTTTGTTAGTTATTTAAATATGTTCGACGTCCTGGTGGACAGAAAAACTGTGTCCAGTTAGTGTTTCCACACCAACATATTTTCCATTTAAGATCATGTATATAATAAAAAAATAAATTGTTGAGATCGCTTCAGTGCTGGTGTTTAAATAAAAACAGATTTTTATCATTATGTAAGCAATTTTAATGCTACTGATGTGTTTGTTTTTAAAATTAAAGCATAAAACGTTAAATTGATATTTGATAATTTTAATTTAAGACTGAACTTTAAACGAAACCTAAGACTTCGCTTTAAACCGAAAAATGTTAAATTAAATTGGTATGTTTCAGGTGGTAGAAGCTCGTGAAACAATGGCTGCTCAACTGCCCGAAGAGCCCAAAGCAGGTCCTGAAGCTATAGCCCTGCTCATAAGACTGCCCACGGGCGAGAGGCTAACTCGACGATTCCTATTCGCTCACACCACTCAGGTATTTTTACTTTGACATTATAGTAAATTGATCATATGTAACATATTTTTTGTGAAATCTATATAAATGGGATTAAAACCTTAAATAATTTACATAAAACCTTAAGTTATTTAAACTTAGACCAGGTGCAATATCAAGTTTTTTAGATGCTTTTAGTGTAATTACAGCCACGCAATATGATCCGTCTTTCCATTTAATCACATTCAAGCAAACCACGCCATAGTCTCTGGTATTTTCCAAAAGTCAATAAGTTGCTAATTAATATTTCCCATCTCCCAATAATTTTTGTTTTCATATATGTATTCCATCAATTCTAAAAACTTCAGGCATTGTATTAAAAAAAAAGGGTGCGTGTACTTATGTACGCGCGTAAGAAGTTATACTTCTTTGGCATTATTAAAAATAGTTTTTGATTGCATGCAAATAATTAATTACAATTATATAATCAAAGACTGGAAAAGGAGTCATTGTAGTCAATAAAGTTCAGTTTACATTTGAAAAATTAAATAAATAAATATTTATTAATGTTATATTTATTATTATTTTCTAATATTAATTAGTATTGATTTAAATATTCAATTTAAATCACTTCTGATTATAATTCAGACGAACATATAAATTTCGCACTTGTATAATGAAAACACGTGTTTTAAATGTAGAAACTCAAAGCATGTGGATAAATATTATAAATACACAGTGAACAGAGGCGGCGCGGCGTGCGTCCCGACATGTGCCACTGACTTCATTCTGTTAATTTTGTGTCACGGTGCGCGCGCATTGTAAAATTTCACTCTCATCAATTTTTCATAACGCGCCTAAAGAATTATAACTTCAAAAACGTTATTTTATTATTATTATCTGACTTTTAATATTCCAATTTAAAAAACACTTTCAGGATCTATACGACTTCGTGTTCAGTCATCCACAATCGCCCGAAGAATTTGAAATAACAACAAATTTTCCAAAGCGCGCCATTTCTCGTGGTCCGTCAAAACTTATTGACGTGGGTTTGAAAGATCGTGACGTTCTATTTGTTAACGATGTCAATGCATAAACTACAGATGTGTCTATGCTACCATAGATATTTTAATTGTAAATAAATTCTTTTTCCTGCCTGTGTTATTATTTTTAAAAATACATATTTTAATTTCGAATCAATCTAAAATAATTTTATTGGCGTATAAATTATTCGTAGTTGTACCATGGTCTAAACTCTAAACAAAATAGAGAGGTCAAAGAATTTATTTACTTTGATGTGTTAAATGTATGCATGTCTCCATAATGTTCTAAAGGTTTCGCGTATATTGATTTATGAAAATGTTATTTTTTATTAAGATAATAAAGTTACATTGTTTTGAATAAGTCAGTTTTAATTTTTCTAGAAATGGTTAATTTTGCACTTACATTGAAATGAGACTTGTATGCATAATATATGTAAATATGAATAACAAAGATATTAAGACTAGGATTTTAGTTTTTACCGCATAATACTTTGGGGCTAATTCTGAATAGCGAGAGACTTCAGAAAAAAAGACTTCTTTATTTATCAAATTTTTACTCTATTGCTTTTCAAGTTAAGAACCTGTGTTGAAAAATCCCGCAAGTATAGTCGGGACAATTGACAAAATCACGAAGAAAAATGTTAACAGCATAAAAAACAAATTTTCAATAAAATTATTAAAACATTTCTTCATTCAAAAAATATTCATTCGATATTTGAAACTTTTGCTCATGTCACGCTATTTTTTTACAGAAATTTAAAAGTTCAGAAATAGCGCCATTTATATATTAAAAATATCAAATTTTCTTTATTTATGAATCAAGATTTTAATTCTTCACTAATTGTATATAGCTACATCTGAAAAAGACATTAAACTATGCTTACAAACCTATTATATACGTATGTGCATGTGAATCTATGTAATCTGAGATATTGTAACATGATTTCCTACTTAACGCGTTTTTAGAACTAATTTAATTTAAGGCTAAAATTGTCTCCTGCGCCTTTCTAAATTGAGGGTTCGTAATCCAGGAAAGGGATTTTAGGTCTATTTAGAAGTGGCGGTAAATAAGAACCACTATTCGACTTGAAGAAGAAAGTTCTTTTTTGAAATAAAAATGTTATATATCAAATTTGAAATTCGAAAACTGTTTTCATTTTAATTATATTTGAGAAATATCGATAAATAAAAAACAATTACAGAAAAATTGTCTATTACACAATGGCGTTGTCTTTGAAAATGAATATTACATTTAAAATTTGAATTTCGAAGCCGAACTCGTGTTAAATTTTAATTAATGGTAGATGATGTTAATCGTAGGCATATTTGATATGTTAGAATTAAATTCGTTAAAAATCTTTATAACATCGAAAAAAAAAGTCATCCGTTCCCTATTCGTATTATTACTGTCATTTATAAGTCTGGAATTGTAAAATACGACGAAATTGGTATTTCAAAATATGTATAATTCAATGTAAAATACAGTAAATTTGAATATTGTACAGTAGTTTGTATATAGTTGTACTCTATTAATGTGAAACTGAAGATTGGATTAATTGTGTGTCTCCTTGTAACTTGCGGGAAAGAAATGTAAGCATTTTTGGGTTAAAAAATTACTCATTCCGGTATAGTTATTCACTTATATTTAAAGTCAAGCTACGGCTTAAAATTATACTTTGTTTTCCCGGAAACGAACAAGGAACCCTTGATAAGTGATAGCTACTCCGAGTACCATTGAATTGTTGGGTTGTCTTGGAAAGTTATTAAATAAATTTCCGTCATTTGGCAATGTTTAATTTGTTTTTAAAAGAGCGGTTTTATTAAGTTTAGGCTAGATATAGTGTAAATGGTATTTTAATAGGTTTGAGACCAATTTTTTGCAAAATATTTCCATGATTATATTTGTTTGTTATGTTAAGAACCTGAGGCCACGGAAATTCACGGAAATTTCTATACAGTAGCGAAGTCAGACTAGTAAGGCTAATCTTTAATTACCAATGTTGTTTGTACTCTAGAAAAATGTGTGTCGCCATATCGATAACGCTGATGTCGCAAAAATTTAATTTGGTGTTCGAAATAATATGTGGCCTCTGGAAAAACTAGTAATGGTACTCAGAGTCGTCGATTAAATTATCTTTTATGAGAACGGTGCAACGAAACTAAAAATATTTTCTTAATAACTATTTTAAGGTATGGTAGTGAAAGACCTCATTTAGCTGCTGTTTGATCCTATATTGAACATGGCGCAAAAATAGGGTCCAGATGGACCGTGGTGTGTTTCGGTTCAAAATTATAAGCCTGACACCTTAGGGTGCGTCCACATCTGGCGAATATGCTCGCGAGCCATTTGCGAGCTGCGTGCGTGCATTTTTGTTCGTGCGCCGCTCCTGCGCCGCCCGCGCGCAGTTCGCTCGCAACCTAAGCGCCGTACACGATCACAGAAAAATTATACTACATTATCTCTTATATCTCATAGACTCTGAGTTCGGTTAGTAGTGTATATTAAATATGTAAAAGATTTCGTTGCGTTATCACATAGTAGTGAGCCAAATCAGTTTGTTTTTATAGTCAATATCACCTCCAACCATCATTGTTTACACGAATAAAAATCCACAATAAAATATTTAACAATATTATTCTATAGAAAACGACTGATTTCTGGCTACTAGAGTATGCACATGTTTTTTTAGGTGGTAATTCTGTTTACAATTTACTAATTACTATATGCCAAAACATTACTGCAAGCATAGATTATATATATTAAAAAAAATCATCTTATCGGCCTGTACCTTAAACGTCAAGTTTCTATTATTTATTGTTAAATTTATCTATAGTTACTACAATTTTATTAATTTGGGCCACCCTAGTTGCGCACTTTTGTATTAAAATTAGTATTTTCAAAATGTATAACTAGGTGTTACAATCTGTGTCTATCATTGTATAGAATCCATTCAATGTAATCATTCTTAAAAAATGATATAACTATTAAATATGATATATTAAATTGTAGAACAGAATTAGCACGTTGCTTTTGCATTTGCTTGCTTTATAGTTTTGAAAGAATCAGGATTCTTGTGTGGTATACGGTAGTAGGTACCAGTGGTGCTCAGTACTACAAGCATTTAATTGTATACCTTTTGTTGTAATAAAACGTTCCTTTGACATTGGGTTTTATTTTGAGCCTTTAATTTATCGCACATGTTTCGCACTGAAGAGGCACTCCAATCACACATAAATTAGAGATTATGTTATTCAATAAGATCTCGAAAATTTTTGCGGTAAAATACCTGTGTAGCAAGATATTATCTTTTTGATAGTATGGTTTGAAATGGGGATGAATTAGGTAACAAAAAAACGTTTAATAAATTAATTTATTTAAAAAACCAATCCTATACCATAAAATACAATGTATACTTAACGCAAATGTTTCATGGAATGTAGGCACTTTTACAATATTTTACATCAAAATCATAATCCGTGCTAATACACAAAAATATTAAGTACTAATGTTACAATAAACCTAGGTTAAGTATGCAAAATATACTTGCCGTTCCTATATTTGTGCCTTTCTCCATAAATTCGAATTACTTTTGAGTTCTTTTTCTATATTATTCAATTATTTCTTTTTATTTTAAGGGTCTGTTTCACAATGTACGCATAAGTTCTACATAAGTTCCAAATTAGCTATTTATTACTTATTGGTAGGATAAACACTATTGTTGCGTTTCACGACCGTCAGATAGCGCTATTCGTCACATAAAGTCCATCATAAGCCGATGAATGTCAAATAGCACAATTTATCTTCCAAATAATTTATGTGTTGCATAGCTATTTGGTACTTTATCCATACATTGTGAAACAGACCCTAAAGATAGGAAACGTATTCGTAGGTTAAAAGCGCAGATAATAAGGATTTCGTGTGCAGATTCCAAGTGGGGTCTGCTCCCAGTTTAGTTCCTAGTTGGCGGCGCTGGCGTCGTTCTCCGTCTCTTGCTCTTGTAGTTATGATACATTGGGGGAACGTACGTCTCTTGCTTGAATTTTAATGTATAATTTAATAACTAACGTAAATAAAAAAGGAAAAAATCCGAAATTAAATATCTAAGTCAAATTTGTACTTATGGGAATGTTCTATCTTATAATAAATCACAACCCATATTTAACTTTGTTAATTGGTTTATTCTTTACAAAACAAGAGTAATTAATTTATATTCTTATAGAAAAGCTCATGGAAAAAAAGACATTTCTCACTCGTCTAAAGTCTGCCCTGAGTGACGTTTTGTTTTCATCTTTTCTTAACGACCGGTATTTATGTTGCCACATACATCAAAATATTATAGAAAAACTACACAAAAATAGTATTTACATTGAAGTGCGTATCTAGGATTGGCTACACGACCCCCCTACGGAGACAGATAGGCTGAGGCGAAAAATTATAGTATATAACAATAACATAAAAGGTACTTAAAATATAAAAAAAAAATTTTTTTAAAACATTACAAAGAAAAACTTAAGATTTACAAATCTAACCTAGTCTTAAATCTAACCGTTCTGCCTGACCTGGTAACAACAGGGTTAGGGGCAGAAACGGGAGGTATTTTCCACACTTGGCGAAAGTAATGACGGCGGTGCAGGGCTAGGTGCGCGAGTTGAAGGAAAAGCAAACTGCTCGACGAACGCTGGTTTAACGCGATCCACACTTACAGTTACGTCCTTCCCCTTTAAATCAATGTTCAGGGTTTTACCATCAATGGCGTACTTTAAACTTTATATGGACCCGTGTATGGTGGCTGCAGAGGACGTCTGAAGGTATCGTCACGCAAAAATATGTGCGTTGCTCCAGGTAGCTCTTTAAATACGAAGGGTCGTTTGTTGCCATGTCGCGATGCCGGTGTCGGTTGTACTTCAGCCATTTTACTTTGAAGACGTACAACGAAATCAGCCGGGTTTTCCATTGCTAAAGTTGGCTTGTCATCTAAGACAAGGAGTTGTCCTGGTAGACGTAATGGCTCTCCATATATCATTTCTGCAACTGAGCAGTTCAGGTCTTCCTTCAGGGCCGACCGCATACCCAGTAATACAAATGGCAACGCTCTAGTCCACGTATCATCGTGGCATGTTAGGGCGGCTTTAAGTTGCCGGTGAACTCGCTCAATCATGCCGTTTAAGCAGTGGTTCTTTTACGCCTTGTGGCAAACATTAGCATCAGACGATGGAAAAGATCCGACTCGAACTGCGTGACCTGGTCGGTTGTCAAAACAGCTGGGACACCGAAGCGTGGAATCCATTCACGGGTGAACGTTTCAGCTACTTCCTCAGCGGTGATAGAATGCATAGGCCAAGCTTCAGGCCACCCTGAATTGAGAACGGCTAGATTTTCTGATATGTTTACTGGTCGTATGAAGACACAGATTCCACCTGCTTTGAGTGCTCTTGGAGATGGAATGATTCAGGCGGGAGCTCGTCTGAATTCGTTGGACCTAAGTGACAATGCCTTTGGACCCATTGGTGTAGAGGGCCTTGCTAAATTAATACAAAGTGATGTTTGTTCACAACTACAGGAACTTCGTCTGAACAACAATGGTTTAGTTATCACAGGAGGACGGTTACTGGCCAAGGCATTGTCTGCAAGTCCAATGAAGTTAAAGATATTCAGACTGGAAGAAACCGACATATTTAACTTTGTTAATTGGTTTATTCTTCACAAAACAAGAGTAATTAATGTATATTCTTATAGAAAAGCTCACGGAAAAAAAGACATATCTCACTCGTCTAAAGTCTGCCCTGAGTGACGTTTTGTTTTCATCTTTTCTTAACGACCGGTATTTATGTTGCCACATACATCAAAATATTATAGAAAAACTACACAAAAATAGTATTTACATTGAAGTGCGTATCTACGATTCGCTACATACTGTTGTATGTGGTAAGAATACTTGTTTTTACATTTGGTTGCGTTTTAATAACTAGTCAATAATTTTTGAAGATATAACAAGATTTTAATGCATTTATTACAGCACTTACTTATAAATATCTCATATATTTTGAGGACAAAATTGGATGGAAAATATTAGTGCTAGGAACTAATCTATTTAGCCTAGATACGAATATATAATAACTATACGAATAATATCCTAGTTATTAAACATGAGACAAAATACTGAGATATTCGATTTGCTTATTGTAGGTATTGCTCTGTTATTTATGAACGTACTCCATAGAGGTTACGTCAGGTTTTACAATACTATGTCACTTTGTAAATGACATAATATTCATGAAGTTCCAATTAGATTGTATGGCCCGTACTCTAGAACGTCAAACTTAAATCTGTCAAGAGTTTTCAATCCATTTTTTCTGTATGAAGTGCTCAAGACGGGATTCTGACTTCAGATATGAATAAGATATTGGCCTCTAAGATCTCTGATTCCACCAAGTAGTATACTAACCGAGTGCCAGTTTCAAGTTCGCTGTGTTTTCTAATAATAATTTATTGACATAAACTGATTCCATATAAAGTTGTGTCCGCGGCTCCTGTTTTCCAGCCTGTTACTTCCGAGTTATAATTAATATACGAAAAATAAATTGCTATTGTAATTTGTAATAAGTAATAATAATGTAAGTTTAATTCACTAGGCCTATTCTTTACATTATATTATTTGCATTACAATATAAAAATTAAAACAACAATAATAAAAAATCCATCTATTTTTGATTAATATACATATTTACATAAATATCGTATCCATTTTCGACTAGCTTTAAGTTTTGTCTCACTCAAGCTATGTTCTTATTGTTATACACGGAAAAGATAAAGGTTTTTGTGGGAACCGAAATATGTAACATTGTGTGATCAAAGAATCATACTTGATAGGTTGTCTATATGAGAGTAGTAAAATAGTAATACAACTGATTTTAGTATAGAATTTTAAGAAGGGTCCTTCCAAACATATCTATTCCGCGATTTTTACACTTCACTTATTGTACTATAATCATAAATTTTGTCTTTTAATTTGAAAATCGTAGCAAAAATTGCTTTTATATTCTAAATTTCATTCAGAAAGAGCGATAAGTCAAAAATATATCTACATAATATAACTAAGTTAAACCGAATATTATTTAGTTCTAACTGTCAAATGCAAATTACACATTTTTTTTTAATGGCTCTGGCACGATTTGTGCATTAGCCAGCGTCAAGTATAAAATTTTTATAATTCGTGCTTGCCTTAGAAATTCGACCGTGCCCTCCATGTACGGTTTAAGCACTCGCCCGGTACCGCACAACCCTCCCAAAGGCCGAGAACAAATTTAAATTAAATTAAAACTTGCCCTCGGACCGGGAATCGAACCCGGTACCCCTCACCTAGCTGAATTACACATTTGCAATTGACATTGAATTGAATTCCCGCCAAAAGATTTCCATAGATCACTAACCAATAAACGCGTGAATAGAATTGTCTTTGACACCAATTTTCTTTAACGAATCTACGCCGGTGTGCGTAAACTCCGTAGGTCCACAAAGACAAGCGAAATGAGTATTTAAATCTTTAGGAATCATTTTACTTAGTATATCTAAGCTTATTCTGCCTTTTAGGCCATTCCACGTTGAACTCGCGTTTGAAAGGACGTGTAGTACTTGTAATCTGTAAATAAAAATGACTATTCTTTATTCGGCTATAGACAATTTATTAGGGTAAACGAGACTATCACCAATTGAGTGGTCACGTGATGTCACCAAAGAGTTTTTGACATATTGAGTCACGCTTGCCAAATAATAGGTACCCGACGCATACGGCTCCCTTCTATGTTTTTTTACTTAATATTTTTCTTTATAGGTACGTAACAGTACGTACTACTGTCTTCAAACCACTTTTGTTTTACCGGAATTGAACCTGGCCAATACGCCATGTGGCTTATACATATATGTTTATACACTATTATATATTTACCGATCATCCTGTTGAACATATTCTTCTAATTTTGTCTTGAAAAGTATGTCTTCTTCTGTCTTGTTGAAGAATATTAAATGTACTCGTTCGCTGAAAAGAGAGACGTTTAATAAAATTTAATTTCCCGCTTCAAAGATTAGAGGGAACCAACTGCCAAAGACACGGACTTTTATTGAGTACTTAAGGGTACCATTTTTAATGGAAATTCATACAATATAAAACTTTTGTATCTAATTTGGGCTTAAAGAATTTAGAATAAAGTTATCTAGTGTTTCAACAGCGTTAAATTTTTAGTAAAACCAGCCATCAACATAGCAAGTTACACCTTCAAGAAAAAACGTAACAATTCTTAAAAAGCAGGCAACGCACTCGCGAGCCATCTGGCATTGAGAGTGTCCAAGGGCGGCAGTATCACTTAACATCAGAGCCTCCTGCCCGTTTGTTCTTTAAAAAGAGCCACTATACCATAGACCATAGTCCGTACTATTGTAAGATTAGGAGACGAGGTCTAACTGTAATTTCCAATACCAACAGTTATCCCGATCCGAATAATGTTTTTTTCCGAGATTCGAAGGTTCAATATCAGCGCTATTGAGAACTACATCGAACTTATATACAAAAAATTCAGATAACTTTGAAAGGCCGGCAACGCACTTGCGAGCCTTCTGGCAATGTGAGTGTCCATGGGCGGCGGTTTCACTTAACATCAGATGAGCCTCCTGCCCGTTTGCCTCCTATTACATAAAAAGAATCGGTAACGCTGTCGCTACTGAAAGTTACAGAGTAAAGGCGCTGGAGTGACTTAACTAGCTCACGATGACGTTTTATTGGGCCCCACTATTTTTTTAAGTGAAACATCTATAGGCTCATTTGTAAACCGAATTGTTGGCGTGGCGACGCTTGCCGTAATTTTTTGTATTTAATGAAAATAAATGTATATTCAATAAATAGTCATCGTTATCTGGAAAAAAATTCGTAATATTTTATTTTATCATTATGACATATTTAGTTCCTATCACAATCTGTTCTTTTCTGCATATTACTTTTACAAAATAATGTCGATGTTTCACATTTGCCAGGCGTCCCGTGACGGCTCACATTTTCCATTTTTCATGTCATTTTAGGTCATTTTTTTAATTTGTATTTATTTTTCCATACTAACGTTTCCTGGAAGAAATCACTTCATGGCAATAAGGCCGAATAACTATATGCATGTTTTTTTTGTAAGTATGTATGTTTGTGTAAATAAATGAAATAACATTTCGGTCCCAACTGGGACGTGAACCATCAAAAGTACATTAAAGAGATGTTTAAAACTTCTAAATACACCAAAATTTCAAGGTTTTTCAATCGACATCAAAATCATTATTTATGCAACCAAAATTTTTGAGTACGCAAATTTCTGTGAAATCAAAAGTTATTGTGCTTATTAAATATTATATTCCAATTAAGAAGCAGTCCAAGTCCAAAACTCGTTTAATAGTAGTATTCATATATCCAGGGATTCCTAGTAGTAACATGTATCTAGGTAAAATTCATTAACAGTCGCTATACCCGCTCTCGGCGTTACATACAAAGATAAAGATGCTTTAAATATAATGAAATCAACTGTATTAATAGATGTATTTTTTTTATATTATCACGATTTTCTAGATGTATATTGAAACGCAAGCAATTTTAACTTCCTAATTTTGTCACGAGAGGTCCTTCTATTAATATATTACTATACTATATTACTATAGTACACTATTTTTGTACCAAATGTTGTTGTCTCAGAAAAAAATGTATTCACCAAACATTCCTTTTATTACAACATCCACGTGAATTAACATATATATAACTTTAATATATATTACTTACCATCTTGGATTCGACCTTGATAACGCGAAGCGTATTAAAGATAACATTGGAGTTATGCCGGTGCCCGCCGCTATGAGGTATAATATTTTCACAGGTTTCAACTGAAAGTACGGAAATCAATCTTAAACTCATGCAATGAGATCACCGTGTTTTGTTTTCTCTTAGTATGCTTACTTTAGGTTCTTGGGTTTTATTAATATTAAGTTTAGAATCATTTTTATCAATTAAAATGTCATATTAAAAAAAATTAATTATTATATCACAGTTTATTGCACATACAAGAATTCAAAATAATAATAAACCTAATAAATGAATAGAAGCAGTGTTGGCCTAGTGGCTTCAGGTCGTAGGTTCGATCCCCGCCTAAGTACCAAAAGACTTTCTTTCTATGTGCGCATTTAACATTTGCTCGAACGGTGAAGAAAAACATCGTGAGGAAACCGGCTTGCCTTAGACCCAAAAATTCGACGGCGTGTGTCAGACACAGGAGGCTGATCAGCTACTTGATTTACACACTATTACATTTACGGGTACTTATTCTGATATTAATAAGTTATTAAATTGATCTATTCTACGTAGTTGGTCCCAAAGTTCTTTCCCCAGCAAATTTTTTTTTCCTTTCGGGGGGGGTTTTTTTAAAAAAATTTTTTTTTTTTTTTTTTTTTTTTTTTTTTTTTTTTTTAAAAAAAAAAAAAAATTTTTTTTTTTTTTTTTTTGGGGGGGGGGTTGGGGAAAACCAAAATTTTTTTTTTTTGGGTTCCCCCGGGGGGCCCCCCCCCCCCCCCCCCTTTTTTTTTTTTCTTTTTTTTTTTTTTTTTTTTTTTTTTTTTTTTTGGTTTTTTTGTTGGGGGTTTTTTTTTTTTGTTTTGGGGGGGGGGGGGGGGGGGGGGGCCCCCCCCCCCCCCCCCCCCCCCCCCCCCCCCCCCCCCCCCCGGGGGGGGGGGGGGAGAACCCCCCGCCAAAAAGAAGGGGGGGTTGGTTGGGGGGGGGGGGGGGGGGGGGGGGAAAAAAAATTTTTTTTTTTTTTTTTTTTTTTTTGTGTGCGAGAAAGAGAGGGGGGGGTATTTTTTTTTTTTTTTTTATATTGGGAGGGGGGGGGGGGGGGGGGGGGGGGGGGGGGGGGGGGCGGCCCCCCCCCCCCCCCCCCCCCCCTTTCCGGGGGAAAATTTTTTTTTTTTTGTGGGGAGAAAAAAAAAAAAAATATATTTTTTTTTGTGGGGGTGGGGGGGGGGGGAGAAAATTAGTTTGCCCGGGGGGGGGGGGGCCCCCCCCCCTCCCTTTTTTTGGTGGGGGGGGGGGGGGGTGTGTGGGGGGGGGGGGGGGTTTTTTTTTTTGGGGGGGGGGGGGCCCCGGGGGGTGGGGGGGGCCGGGGGGGGGTGTGTTTCCCCGGGGCCCCCCCCCCCCCCCCCCCCCCCCCGCGGGGGCCCCCCGGGTGCCCGGGGGGCGGCGCCCCCCCCCCCCCCCCCCCCCCCCCCCCCCGGGGGGGGGGGCGGCCCCCCCCCCCCCTCTTCGGGGGGGGGCTCCCCCCCCCCCCCCCCCCCCCCGGCCCCCGGGGGCCCCCCCGGGGGGGGGGGGGGGGGGGGGGGGGGGGGTGCCGCCCATTCCCTATGGGGGGGGGGGGGGGTTTGTGATGCCTCTTCTCCACCTCCCCCCCCCCCCGCCCCCCGCCCCCGGGGGGCGCGGCGCCCCGCCGCGCGGGGGGGCGGGGGGGGGGGGGGGGGGGGGGTGGGGGGTGTTTTTTTTTTTTTTTTTTTTTTTTTTTTTTTTTTTTTTTTTTTTTTTCTTTTTTTTTTTTTTTTTTTTTTTTTTTTTTTTTTTTTTTTTTTTTTTTTTTCTTTATGACAGAACTTTGGGACCGACTACGTAGTTACAGAGGGAGGCAGGTGCTGCCTACAAATTGTGATTGATGAGTATTTGCGTCATATCAACATTAGTATAATACACCCAATGCGTCTTCGTTAGTAGAAATTAATCAATATGGTTTTTTTTATAGAACAGAGGCAAACGGGCAGGAGGCTCATCTGATGTTATGTGATACCGCCGCCCATGGGCACTCTCAATGCCAGAGGGCTCGAGAGTGCGTTGCCAGCCTTTTAAGAATAGTTATACCCTTGTCTTGAATGACCCAAGTCGATTTGGTTCGGAAATACTTCAGTGAGCAGTTGGTACCATATAGCGGTGGTACGCGGCAAAAACTGCCTTTAAAAGTGCTCAGTTGTGGCACGACGGACGTGGAGGTGATATGGGTGGAATTTCTTATTCTGACGTCCGATTATGAAACATACAAAAATCTCAAAAATCGGTACCTTTGCTTTTTAATTTACAATTTCAAGAAATTATATCGAGAATTTTTGCAAAAAGTTCAAATATTCAAGATTCTTATAGAAGTTTAATTATGTATAATAAATACTTTTGATTATTAATACAATATAATACATAATATCAACGAATAATTCTATGTTTGTTTGTATTTTTTTATTCCTTTTTAATAATTTTATTTTTTATTTTGACTGTCAACATTTTTGTTTTGTTTAGCGTGTAGCTGTCACTCCATTGTATGGGGCCCAATGAAAATCAGTTTTGACGGTTAAAACGGAGTGGAGCCCATTGTTTAGAGTGATTTCTTTATATGTATAATACATGTATGCTTTAATCTAATAAATGTAGTGTATAACAACCATCTTTCTAATTTAATTCATCCGACTTACACTGAACTACACAATCTATGCCAAATACACATGTCAAAAGAGAATGAAATTCATTATAACGTCAAAATCTTATAACCTCAGTATAATAGAAAAGTGCTAAAAACAAATCAAATGTCTCACTATATGAAATTTTAATTCTTGATTTCTAGTATACTATTCGAATTATGCATCTCTGATGAATGCGTTTTAAGGCAAGTCTTTTATGATCTCCCTTAAGTTAAATCTCCCTCTTTTAAAACCTCTTTAAAAAGTCTTCTACATAACCTCTTAACCATCCTATGTTCAATCCTGACTTTTGTAACTCCCTCTTATCTTAAAAATGAATTTTAATTCGATACTTAAAACTGTATTATGCTCCTGATTTGGAAATTCCACCTCACAGCTCCTCCCGTATAAGATCTCCGCCATAAAGTTATGGAAACTTTGTTTTATGAATATATTATTTTTAGTGTATTTTGGAACATTGCATTGCGAATCATGATTGTACGTTAGTAAATATTTTATTTTATTAAATATTATTAAATATGTATAATACATCACAATTTTAAGAAGGCCAAAGTGGGGCATGGCAAAAAAGTGAGTGCGTGAGTTAGCCGCCCGTTGCCTCCTTATATGTAGATGCAAGTGTTAATAAATATATGTTCTTAGGTACCCAAACAATGAACATAATATTATATTCAATCGAAATTTATTAAAACACAGTACAAACATTGATTCCTTTGAGAAATGAACAAAAATATACCTATTAAAAAGTTACCTGCTGTAGTCGGAAATTCCCGTAGGACCCCGACAGAGTGATGACGTCACCAAGTCCCAATGACGTCAGATACGGTGAGAGGCTGCCTGATTCGTATCGCTTGACAGCTAACTTCAGACAGCTGAATTCATTGCTTGAATTATCCCATCCGTCCCCAATGGGTGTGTACGATCGGATACATTCAGAATCTAGAAATAATAAGGATTAAACTTAAACGTGTATCCGATTTTTCTTCGAATTTTTGTTTCGATTTAAATATAAAAATCATAAGACTGGTTCCAATTTTGTTTATAGGGAAGTAATTTTAGAAAATAAATTATCTTTTAAAATAAATTAATAAAATAATGATTAAATCATATGTTGCATTTTGAAATTATGCAAGAAATTCCTAATTTGTTTTATGAAAGATTTTTATATAAGCTTTAGTTCTATAATAATGTTATGAATAAAAAAGTATTTTCGAATAAAAATACAATTAAACAAAACTGCAAATTTCTAAAACAAAAATTCTAGAAAATGGCGTACTGATTTGAATTAGCTTAATTAATTTTAAGCTAGCAGCTTTCTATATTTTCCCGTAATTTGACACAACAATCAAATATAGGTAGATACGTAAATATTTATTTTTACAATTCTAACAGATGCACTCAGATAAAGAGTTATTTAATACATTAATATTTGTAATTGTATGAATTAACAAGTAATAGTGGTCGGCGGAACTGCTATATCAAGTTCACCAAGTGCCAAATTGATTTATTTAAAAATATACAGTATATGCTATTTATATATTTTTATATAAATTTTATGATAAACGGTTTTTTGATTAGGTCCGCGCGCAGATTTTTTTGACAGCCCTTAACATCATCATACAATCTCTTTGGTGATTGAAACATTTACTAAAAATTTCTCAATTGAAACCGCTCCTAATCCCTTGATATTAAAAATATTAAATAAGGAATTCGTTTCGCCCGTTTTTGCTTTTACAGATATTTTTCTTTTTAATTAGGACTACGCGCATATTACTTTTGACAGCTAGTAACATCATACAATTCGTAATTGATCTCTTTGGTGATTGAAGCATTTAGTAATAACTTTTTACTCCCTAGAGATTAAAAATAACAAAAGAAAGAATTCATTTCGCGCGTTTTTCTTTACCGGATATTTTATTTTTAATTAGCACTGCGCACACATTTTATTGACAGCCAGTAACTTCTTCATACAAAGTTTCATGATTGATTTTTGTGTCAACATTTACTAACTATATCCAAATTCCAAATTCAAACCAAATTTAATCATAGAAATTAGAAAGCTATTTTAGTCTGTTGACTGTTCAGGAACGAACTAGCTCTCTTTGAATAGATGGGAATCGATATTACAGATAATTTAACGACACGTGAATACGACTATTAGTTTGCTTAACTAGCCATTAGCATACCTGACAGCTTATGATGTACTCTGACATGGTGCCCCAAAGGTACTATAACCGGGCCGGGAATTGGGGCCAGAGTTATTAAACTCGTGTCGTGTGTCACCCTACTAACATCCATCACCCGACATTCCACCTTCATTGGCGTCGTTATCTGTATTGCATCACTGAAAGACGCATCGCCACACCCTTTCCATACCTTACACACGGACTTTAATGCTATAACCTAAAAAAAAATATAGAGTCATTCATCATTAGATGTTTGTAGATAACCTTTTTGGAATGTAGGTAGTAACGATGGGTATTATTAAAATGATTGTTTTAAAAAAAACTGGTATTATCTTGCTGTCTCTTCTTAATATAAAATGAAAATAGCCAATAAAATTATTGTAGGGCAGGATCGAAAAGTATTCTATTTTTAAATCGCCTTCAAATATCACTATCAATTAAAATGATATTGCTAGAGTCATAAGGAAAATGCTATTCCATTCCGTATTCAAACACACTAGCCTTTAACATATTTTATTTACCTCAATTTTCCCGCTCTCAGAATACATTTTTAGCTGAAGGGGATCTTTAAGCCTTGCTTCAGGGTCTAGTCTAAATATTCTAAGCCAACCATCTGTCGCCACTTCAACGGTTAGAGTACCATTTGATAACTTCGCAGATCCACCGGGATTTGTTAAATGCCCTGTATATATAGAGATAATAATTTTCGTCGAAGTCTGTATCCAATCGAAGCGTAATTGAGCTGGAGTGTCCTTAGATTTATCCGTCTTGGCGGGACTCGCCGCTGCTCTACGGCTAATCGATACCGGCAAATCGCTGGACTGTATCAAGCTCTGCATAATTTTGCTTGGCGGACTTCCTTTGACATTTTCTTCGCTCTTCGCCGTGATCTTTTTCCGTACCGGCGTTATACAATTAGCCAAATTCTCCATCGATTTTCTAACTAGCTGAGCTTTTGAAGGCTCTCGTAACTTATCGGAGCGTGATAGTGGCGTGTTGAATAATTCGTCTGCGTCTGGTCTGTCGTAAGACAGCGGGCCGACCAAGCATTTAGCTAATAGGGAATCGTAGTTGACCCACGGGTGGACCTTGTCGAAGAGCTCTGTAGCGTCCATTCCGGCCCCGCGCATCAATTCTTCGGGACCTTAAAAGAAATGCTAATCAGGAATGGTATTCTTAGGGTAGCGAATTGTCTCATAGAACACATACCTCCAGGGTGATATGGTAAGTAGTGGGTTATATTGTACACACGTCCGCGTATTGCTAACCATGCATCATCTGAAAAAGAATATCGTGTATAAAATTTTGGACTGGCTTATAGCATTTTGATGACTGTGGAAAATTCAGTCAAAGTCAAAATCATATATTCATTCATATATGTTGTCGTATATTCAATGTACACTTTTGAACGTCAAAAATAACCGATAATATATATATTCAATTCAATTCAAAAATCATTTATTCACGTAGGTAACACAATGTACACTTGTAATTCGTCATTAAAGAAATAAATATTCATGCTTCTAATTTTACATTTACTGCCAGTTCTCAAATCAAGGGCGTAGAACGGAAGAGAAGAACTGGCAATAAACTCTCCGCCACTCTTATTAATCGCCATGTTTTTTTTTTTTTTTACACAACGTTTGTAAGGAGCTGCAACCATTACACCATGTTCCACATGACATTTTAAGTAATTAATAATAATAACATAAATAAAATATGAATGGTGAAATAGGAGCACGCACTTACATTCTCGTGGGAACAACACGCAAACACATAGTCGAAATAATTAACATCACCGCATACACGAATTCAAGTACGACCAGTCACCACAAGTAGCACCCGTTCACGAGTATGATGCATGGCCAGCCATCGGCCCCCTCGCCATATTTTAGGGAGAGAGACAACCCGACGCATGGACCCCGCCACGAGCAATGACATTTAAGCGAGCATGACGATCCTTGAAATGTGGACTTGGCTACATAAGAAAATAATAATAATACTGAAATAATTGGATACCACATGGATCACGGTTTGTTCCCACTTTACATTAAAACAGTCGTGGATGTTGACGATCACCCCAGAGTCTGGAAATGCAGCCGAGAGATTCAGTCGTGTTACCTATAATATATACTGGAGCAACTCATATCCAAGCACTAGGATCGTTTAAATATTCATTTATATTATAATAAGCCTTAGCCAGCAGTTTTACTTTAATGTACGATTTAAATTTATTTATTGACAACGCTTGTATCTCACTAGGGATTTTGTTGAAAAAACGTATACAATTGCCTTGGTTTTGCCATTACTCGTTTTATGCAGCCTTCTGGTTGGTGCGCTAATTTTGTCTTTATTACGAGTACTATAATTATGGAAGCTACTATTCTTTTTAAAGATATCTATATTTTTCCGCACATACAAAATATTCTCATAAATGTATTGACTTGCCAGAGTCAAAATATGTAATTCCTTAAATTTGCTTCGGACCGACTCCCGTGGGGACAACCCACAGATCGCTCTTATAGCCCGCTTTTGCACTACAAATATCGATTTAATGTCAGCTGCATTACCCCACAAAATAACACCATATGACATAATACTATGAAAATAGCTGAAATAAACAAGCTTTGCTGTGTTCTCATCCGTAAGATCGCGTATCTTTTTTACAGCGAACGCTGCGGAACTTAGCCTATTCGAAAGACCTTCTATGTGTCGGCCCCACTGGAGTTTACTATCTAAAGTAATTCCCAAGAATACCGCACTATCAACAAAGTCTATTTCCTCGTCTTTAATTATTATTTGAGAATGACTACTTTTTACATTTGTAGTTACAAATTTAACACATTTTGTCTTCTTTTCGTTTTTAATCGCCAAGTTTTTGTCTTACACAAAGTTTGTAAGGAGCTGCAACCATTACACTATGTTCCACATAGTAATAAATTAAAAACAAAGATTTGTCCTCTATCAGCAGGAGGCATGGTGAAAAAGGAGCACGCACTTACATTATCGTACTATATTATATTAACTAAACAATAATGTTCATAACTTTTTTATATTTAAATTGTTATTTAATTTTATTATTCTAAAAATAATTGGGACTATCCTAAACAAAATATCAATACAAAGACCAATTCTATAACTTCCAAAACAGAATATCACCGTACTATAAAACACAAGACGCCATATTGAGACTTACTTTGAGTATTATGCAATGATAGTTCCGAAGGCGAAACAGGTCTCATTCGTCCACCTACACCCGTTAAATCCTTTCCTGAATTCCCTAAACGAATCCAGTCCATAAGACTGTGGCCTGGTTGCAATGCACATTTGTTTCGAGGGTTGCCTGAAACAAAAATAATAATGTTAGTAGACTATACTGTCTATGTTTAAGAGAACTTTAAGCGACGCGTTTAATTATAAAAGAATACTTATACAAACATTGGAAAAGTTCTGTAATTTAAATAAAATATTAGTATTCCTTTCAAGTATAATTTTTATTTACTAGTTTTTTTGTAGTAGTTCCAAGTTCGATTTCCAGTTGAAAATGTTCTATAGAACATGCTTGCTTACTTAAATAATAGAGTAGACCGTTAAAGAAGATCACAGAAATTTGCAAACAATATTTTGTACGACCTTGATATAACTTAAGCTGGCTTGAAAAAAAATTACTTAAAAAAATTATCGGGAATAAATTTAAAATTTTTTCAAAGATAAACAAAACGGCAGCAATCGAGTTTAAAATAAGTTTCAATAAGCTGTCCCAAGACCGTTTCATAATAAATGAATTTGATGTAGTAGATTTGTTATCTAATTGGTCGAAAGAATCCAAAATCTAAAAATATATTAAAATAATAACCGACCTAGATACCTACTGATTAACCAGATCTCTAACCCCAGATCAAAACAGTAATACAACCTTAAAATCTAGTTTATTTTATTTTTACTGACTTTACATTTAATAAAAATCATAGACTAAGAATAAATAAAACTATGATAGATACAAAACAACTTTACAATGAATAAAAGCGCGGCGAAGTGAAAAAGTAAAGCTGGCGTATAATGGCAAAGTTATAAAAATACTCAAATGAAATAATAAATATATAAAAATTTTTTTATAATTTTAATTTAAAAATTTAATAATTAAAATTAAAAAAAATTTAAATATAAAAAATTAATTTAAAAAAAAAAATAAAATAAAAATAAATTAAAAAAAATAAAAAAAATTTAAAAGGAGAAAGAGATTAAATATATTAATAAAAAATAATTATATTAAATTATATATTATTAAAAAAAAAAAAAAAAAAAAAAAAAAAAAAAAAAAAAAAAAAATAAAAAAAAAAAAAGAATTATATAAAAAAAATTAAAAAAAAATAAAAAAAAAAAAAAAAAAAATAAAAAAATAATAAATAAAAATAATTTTAAAATTTTTATATTTTAATAATATTAAAATTTATAAAATTTACTTAAATAATAGAGTAGACCGTTAAAGAAGATCACAGAAATTTGCAAACAATATTTTGTACGCTGATTGATTTATGTTGAGTTATGAACTTTGATGAAAAATTGGTTTTGAAAATAGAAGTACTTAAAAAGAAATTTCCCTCTCTGGGGATAAATAGCTTAATTTTCTTTCAGGGCCGCAATATAAAACGGCGAAGTTCTCAAGTTTATACAGATAAGTTTTCCCCAATTACGCTGTCCTCGAAGACAGCGTTTCATAATGAAATTAATTTGATGCTAGTAGATTTGTTTACGTAATTGGTAAGCGGCCAATAATCCCTAAAAATAATACATATTGACAATACGCTACTGACCTACATACCCTACTGTTAAGCCATCTTCTCTAAGCCCCCAGATCAACAACCAAGTTTAATGACAACCTTAAACTTGACATAAATTAGAGATAGATAGAGTGGATAGTTTATTTTAAACCTTATCTATAATATTGACAACATTTTACATGTTATACAAAAATCATAGACTAACGAAATAAAAGTAAAACATATCAAATAGATAACAAAGCAACTTTGACAATTGACATAGAAAGTTTTCGCGGGAAAACGTTAACAAGTGATCTGGTATAATGGCGTCATAAAGTTAATAATAATTGCAATTGAAATAATGACAGCCATAGTTAAAACATTGTTTAAAATATTATCCAGACGGCGGTAAACTTATAATTAAATTATAAAGCCATTTAAAATTTTACGCAATTGGTCATCATTATTGTTCATGACAACCGAGTATTGAAACTGTCTAACAATATTATAAAGTTCTTTTAGATATAATTATCATAACCTAGATCGTTTTTATAAGGCATTTTGACCCAAATATTTTCATAAGTATCAACCGGTACAATTTCTGCCTTTGATATTTTTCTAAATAGTTATGCATCGACACGAGGAATAACACCGATAAATTCACGTAAAGCGTGTATTATGTAACAACAAGCTGTCTCGGCGAATCCCGTTCCACCTTACAGGCAATGAATTATAGGTAAATAAAAAAATGAATATTTAAAATTAATACAAAATTATTAGGTAACATTTTTGATGTTTTGACTGATGTTATTGTAATATTTTTTCTTTATTGATGACATTTTAATTCTTACACCTATTCCGGACGAAGACAATTCAAAACACTATAAATTGTGGTTAAGCCGTTCTTAAGTTATGTGTACGTAAGTGACGTGATATATATGTGGATATCCGGGCTGGGAAAACCTTTTTGCGATTGTTTAATTTTGAACTTTTCATAATAAATCTATATACAAAATGAATTGCTGTTTGTTTGTCTAGCTAAAACTCGAGAATGACTGGAACAAATTGGCTAATTAAGATCTTGAAATATCTGTGGAAGTTTAAGGAAGGTTTAATCGGTGAGAAACATACAAAATAAGTAAATAAATATACTAAAAACGACAACTCAATTTTCCTATAACTGTTAAACTGTTTCTAGCTGGGAAATATTAGATGTCTTTTGTCTTATTAGAAACAAAATGTCACTATGTCACTTGGTTGTCATATATTTATGAGATGCCTTCAGAAATTTGTGTTTCATAGCAGTAGTATGGTACGATCACAGTCTGTTTTAACAGTTTTGAAAAATGTTGACACAAATATATGGAGGTGATACACAGTTCACCGAGTCATAGTACAGAATAAATTTCATTTGCCTTCACATTATGTAACGTGAAATTTCATACCAAATTACTCGTCATAGGAATCCATACGATACGATTCTATCCATTCAACTAACGCCAGGGAATTCGTTGTCCCTTTAGCGTTCCTACATTAAGAGACAATGTACCTATTATTAAAATAAGGATCCAATCTAAACTATTATTGTTTCGCCAAAGAACCTAGGATTGTCATATCAGCCACGTCACATAGCTATTAAATAAAAATTCTTACATATAAATCTAATTAACGTATTTTGAACCTCAAATTGCTAAGAACCGCGATTCTATACAATATTACCCGCCCCGGTTTTGCACGGCAACCATGACAATTAAACCTTCTACTAGAATCATTCTAGATATTGGTGAAAACGTCAATAAATTCCGTGCAGTAATTTACGTTCGTTCGTAAGAAACGTTTGTGTTCGAGCTTCCTCTCGACTGACTTTGCAATTCCGACTACCACGAAAAAGGCTTTTTAGTTTTCGGCGTGATATATAGACTATGATCCTCTCAAATAACGTGGCTGTTATTGGTGAAAGAATATTTAAAATTGGTTTAGTAGATATAGAAGGAGATATGACATTCTCTCTTTATAATCGAATATATAAAATCACAATGTTCGTTCCCATACTTCTTCGAAACGGCTCGACCGATTCTTATAAAATTTTTTATGCATATTCAGTAAGTCTGAGAATTGGCTACTATCTATCTTTCAAATCCCTAAATGATAAGGGGTGTCCACCCCAAAAAAAAATATTTTTGGATATTTTCATTTTATTAAGTGGCATTAAAACATACATACAACCCCTAATTTTCACCCCTCTACAATTAACCCCTATTTTATAATAGTAGATAGTTATTTTTATGGAACTAAAAATGTTTCCTAGAAAAAATATACATGACATAACAACGCTTGCCGGGTCAGCTAGTATTAGTATAAATGTATAGATGCTATAAAATAATGCTAGTTAAAATATCTCCTATCACGACAGCGTGAACACCATTTGACAGAAAGGAACAAAAACAACAGCGTAATTCATTTCAAAAAACAACACATAAAGCTGTAAGCCCAAGAAAAACAAACGAGTCGTAAAATTGAAAAATATTGAAGAACACTGTAATTTTATGAGGAATTTACAGAA